GTTTCATAAGACACTGTACAAACACACACATTTTAAAAAAAAAATTTTCTCAAAAATTTGCACGGTAAGGTATAGTTAAAAGTTTACTATTAGATAAATAAGGACATCTACTATTAGAAAAAAAATAATTTTAGTCATAATCTAATATTTTTTATTTAATATTGGTGGCGAAAGGACCTCCTTAAAGGTTTATTCCAACAACAATCTTGGGACCATACATAAACCAGTCCACAACTTATTGTCGACGACTAATAGTCGACGACCTGTCGAGGATTGGGAAGCGATTCGGAACTTGGATGGCAGTACAGAAACTGCTTTGTGATTAGGTTTGCGTGTGTTGGAACACTAGGTTTTGTACAGTTTTGAGTCCGAGGTTTGTTGGAACACCAAATCTAGACTGCGCAGAATCCCGACAGTACGTAAACCGATTTGCTATTGTGTTGGAACCTTAGATAAAAGAGACCGGAGATGTAACATTGCACATTGCGCATGTTGTCTATTCCAAACCTAAGTAACCCACCAATTAAAAATCATTGTGTTCACGACGCCACCCGAATTGCTCCGAAATTTCTATTCTTTGCTTGTCTCCGCGTGAGTAAATCGTTTATGGACCGCCCTTTTTGAATTATTTGTTGGTGTTATTAGCAATTTAAAGTGTTTTAGTTATTCAATTTCAAGTTGAAAATGCCACGATGTATGGTGAAAAATTGTATATATAAATAATATGTGTCAATGTTATGAAAAATAAGAAATATATTCGTTTTCAGCCGTAAATATTTGTTGACGTTTTGACATAAAGTCGCCATGATTCTTTGAGCTGAATACTTCAGATCCGCATTAAGGGGTTTCAATAAATATTTAATCTAAATAAGAAGTAAACAGGCATTGTTACTAACGAAATTTTGTTTTTAAAAAGTAGTTTTATAAGAATATTTACTAAAAGTGGTTTTAGCCCTTTATTAGATATTTTTACAAGAATATTAGATGAAATACAGGTTCACCTACTTAACATTTCAAGGTTTATTTTATTTGCGGTTAAATCGGAAGTGACATTTGAATCTTAAATCTTAAAACAAAGTAAAACGCGCAATATGATCTAGTATAAGCAAAAAATACTATAGTTACGGAAATTTGTCATATTATTAGTAAAATGTTACATTATAAACCCCTAAACAACTCGAAAAATATCTTCGTTTACTAAAAAAATCTAAATTCCAGCAATATTTATTATACAATCAAATGCGGTTTCAAAGATAACAGGATCAATAAATCCGAATCTCTAAATTTTGGAGCTAAATGCTCTGATGCGACCGATAGGGGTTACAAAAATAATCGATTTATCGTTTTCATGAAAATCGATTTATCCGTTATAATTAATCGATTATCTTTAATAGATTATTTTTGATTAATCGAACATTTTTAATAAATTTTTTTAGGTAATGGAATAATCGATTATAAAGGAATTACAAAAATAGAGTAGATTTATTCAAAATATTCGATTTATTGAAAATAATCGATTTTTTAGAAAAATCGATTTATTGTTTAATAGACTTTTTAAATTAATCGATTATTTTCGATTAATCGATTATTTTAGATTAATCGATTATTTTCGATTTTTCAAAGATATTCGAATAATTTGTTTTAAAATACAAAAAATAGATTATATAAAAATAATCGATTGATCGAATATAATCGGTTATATTATATAATCGATATTTCGGTTATGTTTTAGAATTATTGATTTATCGGTAAATCAGCTTTTTATTAATCAATTATTTTCGATTTTTCAAAGAAAATTAAATAATCAGTTTTAAAGGGAATATAAAAAAAGAAAAAGATTATTTGTAAATAATCAATAATTATTCAGTTTTTTTTTTTTTTTTTTTTTTTTTTTTGGAAAATCGATTTATCGTAGAATCTTCTTAATTAATTATTTTCCGTTAATCGATTATTTTCGATGTTTCAAAAATGATCGAATAATTGATTTTAAAGGAAATTATTCTTTTTTTTTTTTTTTAAATCGATGTATCGATTATTCGACTTTTTAATTAATCGATTATTTTTGATTAATCGATTATTTTTGATTAATCGATTATTTTAGATTTTTCAAAGATTATCGAATAATCTGTTTTAATGGAAATACGAAAAAAAAATAGAAATTAAAAATAATCGATTATTTAAAATAAACGATAATTCGTTTATTATATTTTGTAAACACTGATTTATCGGTTAATTGGCTTTTTAATTAATCTATTTTTTTTTATTTTTTAAAGATAATCAAGTGGTCTATTTTAAAGGAAATAATCGATTGATCGAAAATAATCGATTATTATTAATGATCAATAATTTATTTTGATAATCACCCACTCCTAGCGACCAAATGTCTTTTAATAGGTTTAAATTTTAAAATGTTATCTGGTTTCAGACATATACATTTCTAGAGTTTTATGTGACTCATCCTCTATATTAATTAATATTCCTAAAGAAACAAGCTTTAATATATCTTTTTCTGAGGTTATAATACAAAACAGCATTTTCTCAATTTGACTAAATTTTAATATTATGTGATAGTCGTAGAAAAAATATAATGTTCAACTCACAAGGTTTGATTTGCAGTATTCGCCTGCGCACATGCTTTTTTATAATACTCTTAGACAATGAGTACCATTTCTTACTCGATTAACAATATTCTATTTCAACATTTTACTGTAGTCTCTTACAGAAAAGTCCATAGTAAATAATAGCTAACGAAATATTCTATAAAAGGTCTTCTCTTTACATAAAATGTCGTGGCATCTGTTTGATATTAAAAAATCACGTTAAATTTATTTCATAATACAAAATTCCATTAAACGTATATTTTAAATAAATCTAATAGTTCATTATGATGCTAATAAACAAAGTCCGGTCCCTGTCACAGAGTTCGAGTCCCTGCCCAGTTCCCCCACTCCGTTAACCTTTCTTTAGAAATTGACAACATTTGCGCAGGTTAAACACCAGTGTATGTTATATCTCTGGTCTCTTTTATCTAAGGTTGGAACAAACCTTAAATAAACGAACTAAAGCCATGTTATGTGATTCTCTTGTCCTATCTAGCCAATTATGGTGATGCGGTCTATGGACCAAGTTTGTTAGGTGTTGATAAAACTAGCTTACAAAAAATACAAAATTCGTGTGTACGGTTTATTTGTGGACTTTACAGGCGTGATCATACTAGTCAATACTTAAAGGAATATCTTTTTGTAGGGCTTCTAAAAAAAGGTCCTCATTATATTCTGGCCCTTCTACCTAGCTTCTAAAAAAAGGCCTCTGCTTATATTTTTGTACAAACCAGGTCCTTTTGAAGAACATGTGCTGTAAAAAGATTAAAATGGCATTTTTACATTAGACAATGTTATTTTAATCTTCATTTAGCAATTTAAACTTCGTTTAACACAACGATGGAATCGGGCCTTGCACAACTCAAAGTCTTTGCTAATTCTGTTCAAAATACCGTACATTTACTGTACTTTTTATGTAAATACCGTACTTTTATGTACGTTAATGACTTTGGACCGTATAATAATACTCTCCCTAATTCACCCCCTTACGAGTGAATTTTAACCCCAAAAGCTGAGCTTGTGCGGGGAAAGGGACGGCTATTATTATTATTTGCCGTGGCGATCCGGGGCGACTTAAAGATTATTGATGGTGCCATTTGACTTACAGGTGAGGAAAACCCGGAAAACCTCACCCACCATCATTAATCGAAATTACCGTACAAATACGGTATATACAGTACGATTGGCAACCCTGACGCCTGCTTATATATAATAAAATTCAATTCCGCACTGACGTCCACAACGTCCCATTCGTTTTAAATTTAAACTCACACCGCCTTTACACAAAACAACCTTGTATTTCAAATTATGTTTCTTGGCTTCTAAATGGATTACCGCTTAGCTACTCTAAATTTTCTCTTGGTAAATTGAAACATACATTAAAAGAAAACTTTTTAAATGGCATACTGCGCAATATCATTAAGTAATACGATAAGAGAAATAGCAATTTCTCACCTAATATTGTTTTTCATTATTTTTGTTTTTGTTATACTACGCCAAGTTTGTAACATCCTAGTTAAGATCATATGTATTTTAAGTTAATACTTATTATTTTAGATATATTCACTGTTGGGTTCTAATTAACAGTGCTGTTCCTAAAGTGGCGCTGGGAAACATTAACAAAGCCTACACAGAACACGAGGCTAATGGCCGTAGTAGTCGACGCCAATGACACCAATAAAAAAAAAAAAAATTAATTATTAGTTCTTTTTTATTTATTTTCATTAAGTTGTCGAGGTTGAGTGGAAGAGCAGCTTCTATATTTGCTTATGCAAAGCTGAACTCTGCCTTTTGGCAAATTATTTTTAATAAATAGTACTATTTTTATTTTGTAATTTTCACATGCCAATAAAATCATATTTATTTATTCTTCAATGACAACATTGGGCTTGGGTAACTTCTTATACATTTTCTCGTAAATACTGTTGCGTACCTATGTTTTATTATTGATTTTTATTGATTATACTTACTTTTTTTAGCTGAAGCAATAAACATATATAATAATTAAATATTTTTTTCACTTGTTTTACAAATCAATTTACTTTAAAACCAACATATATTTTTTAATTACGAATTCTATTAAAAATAGTATTGTCACTATTGTCAGTATACGAAAAAATCGTCCGTTAGTTCATAAGTTAGTTGGCGCTGCTGTCACGCACGGTGCCAATAGTAGTAGGATTATGTAAACTGCCTCATAATTAAAAAATAATACTTAATACTTCGGTTGTAAACTTTATATCAATTTCAACTTCCATCTCACACCATCGTGACTTTTCTTCTTGCCTGATGATGTTCAAGCTGACCGAAACTAGTTGCCATTTAAAATAGATTAGGTGGTCGTTTTTGAATCTGTAGTTTATTAACACACAGTACCAACAATATTCAAAATAATAGATACTCCTTTAAAATGCTTTATTTAGTGAAATATAAATTATACAGATATTTGGTTTATTATAAAAATATTTGATAAATTTAAAATACAAAGCAAATTTAAGTAACATGTAAATATTTTCATAAAATCGGCTACTTATATCACAGCCTAAGTCACAGCTACAAAGGATTATAGTCGATACTTAGTAAACGAATAAAATTATCTAAAAATCTACATGATAACAAAACAGTCTACATTCTTTCTCCTTACAATTATGTAAAATATATAAAATTATACGGTAAACAAAGTTTTACCACACACCCAAACCAATTTATTAGAGATTTTGAATCAATTTTAGCACTTTAACAATAACATTAAAAGATAATCTAATAGATCAGTTAGAAAATATGTGGGAGTTTTATAAAATTAAATTTTATTTCTTGTATTCATTGCATTAGCTATATCTAATCTAGATCAACATAAAAAATATTATTCTTTAGAAAAATGAGTTGGTGTATGGGAATGAGATTGCAAAACTTTCTGACACAGCGCTTTGATACTGGGTTGATTTAACAATTCTGCTTCCCTCAGGATTCTTCTTATATCAGACATACGTTTATATTTAACAGCAAGAAAATATGCGGTTTTCAGTTGTTTGGCCTCTATGTATGCAGATATCTGTAAGAAAAATTAATATGTTCAATTTGTATCACATATAAATCTTGTAACATTATATTACAATGAAAGGAAATTAAAGTTCATTCTGATTAATTCACTTTGTCTTTATTATAATTTTTTGTTTTATAGAATTGACATTAGCAAAGCTTTCGACTAGCAGTGGGATTCTTATCTTTCAATATGACACGTGTTGAGAAGCCTCTATCTTCGTATGACAGAATGTGATTCTTATGTAATGTCTCTCTCTATTCAACACGTAACGTGTTGAGTTAGCACATAATCCCTGTCCAGGACTGACTTGCCGTTCTAATAAACAAATATCTGTTAAGGGTTTTTCCTAAAAACTCTTAAAATGTTAACAGCTTCCTATCAGATTGTTCAATATCTGTCGCTATTGAATTACTCCTCCATGTACTACAAACTTTTAATAACAAGTTAAAAAAGTAATTTAAAAAAAATAGACTCCAAAAAATGAGTGTGCTGATTTTGTGATGAATTATTATCGCTGAATATACATAAAAAATTAAGAGTTTGATAATTTTCTCAGGGATCTTATTATCAGGGCCTCAATTCTCGAGCTGTGTGAATTGTTCACTCATTGGAGAATTATCCAATGAAATTTGCTCAAATCGTATTCTTGGCAAATCGACGCGTGTTCACTTCACATGAAAGATTGTGCGATAAGTTCACACGGGTTTTATCATGTGGATTTTGGATATTTCGTATGAAAAATATGTTTTAAGGTTATGTCGTCTGTCGAGTCTTCGAGTCACATTATGTGATTACTTATTAGTCATTAGTGTGGTTGTCTTTTTGTTTGAATATAGTTTTATAAGGTGTAACAGGTGCAATTTGAAGCAAAACAGCAAAGTTTTGACTTGTAATTGTTAGAGAGTTGAAGTTTTAACAAAAATCCTAACAATGGTTTAAATAAAATAGTTCAAGACATGGAAGATGAGCTTGCGGGTTTTTTGGCAATAAATGAATTGCAAGAGTTATAAGACGATCTTCAGAATCCTCAAAGATTTTTAAGGCGAGGGAAGCCATTTGATAAACTATTTCCACTCATTTAAAACGTTTTGGTTCTATATTTCGCTTTAAAACTTTTTATTCCAATTATTGTAAACAAAATCTTACGTGAATGCGATGGGTGATGGAATGGATGGAAAGTCAATATTTGAAGTTAATTTTTAGAAAACAGCTCAAAAGTGACAAAATATAGACCAAACACATCATATAAATTTGGCAACATGGGTCTGAATGAACGTGAATTCACTTTCCCGAGAATCCAGCATTTATGTGTTATGTGAATGGCGTGTGAAGCGGTACCACTCCTGAGGTACCCCCTTTCTTACAAACAAAGGATCCTAGAAATCGGACAACGTGGTAAAGAATTGTCGCTGAACATACCTACATAAAAAATATATTCTGACGAATTGAGAACCTCCTTCCGAAGTCAAATAAAAATGTAGTCTTCAAGAATACCCGTATCCCACGTGATTAAATTGATGTCATCAGTTGGCTAAAAGTAACATTAATAGATTCAATAGTAAACGTCTATTTCATTAAATGTCTTGCTTTACCCGATCACGTGGGATATGAGTATTGTTAAAGAATCATTACTTCCAGACTAAAAATTTAGCCAAACACTATTCCTACCACTATTACATATCAACGATCTATTTTAATTTACATAAATGTTCTAATAAGCTTGACATATGAGGACACAATTTTTTTATCTTAATACTCGTAATAATGATCTTGTATTATCAACTGGGCATTCAAAAACATTTCAACGAATCCAATCACAATCTTATATGTATTCTCAAACAAAAAACCACACCAACTATTCCGTGCTTAAGAACAATCAATTTGTGTGACATAATAATGTGCTATCCATTGCCACTGCATCTGGTAAGAAATTGGGTTTCCTATCTAGGGCAAGAAAGTATTTATTTCCATCCAACCTCCTGATGGAGGCTCAAATAAGACCTAAGCTCGAATATTGCTTACGAATTTGGAAAGCTCAATCATGTACACTTTGCATTCTTGATAACCCCACTAGACTTTAAAACCCTCTTTCCTGACATGTTTTTTCTGATCAATTCAATACCCACGCATCAACAAAAATACATCAAAGGGGGTTATATAACCAATTTATGATAATTATATTATTCTCTTTCCGCTAAGCTTAAGTAGGCGATGATATTTTTGCAACTAATTACCAAATGGTAATTAGTTGTTTGTTAGCTGTTAACAAGTTTAGTTAGAGACAGTTGTCAAATATACCTGATTGTAAGTGGCATAAGAGTAATCTGTCGCCTATAAGTGATGGAAATTGAGCATTATCGGGCTGTGAATTCTACAATTTCAAGCGTGGCTTAAACCGTAGAGTATTTTGAGGAAATCATTGAGTGCTTAGTGATAAGTCATGTTCCTTCGCTACCATAAAGCGGTGGTACAATTAATTTCAACGTAGTCGGCTTTCCTTAAATGACAGTTTTCGAGCGTCTAAGCCAAAAAACGTCAGTTTCAAAAAAATATTGATCTTATTCGGAATATGACTAAAGTGGGCTGGCATCAAGCAATTTTAAAAATTGGTGTGAAAGCAATTAATACTATTGGTGGATTCCTCACAGCTTGACTTTAGATCAAAAGGAAGACCATGTGAGATGGTGCAGATCTACACTAGATTGATTTGACCATGGATAATCTAATTTTGTGTACAACATCATGACAGGTGATGAAACAAGGGTATACTGCTATGATCCCGAAATAAAAAGGAACTATCCTGACGATTTGGGTCTTTGAGAATGAGTCGGCTCCAACAAAAGTTGTTCATGAAAAAAACCGCAACAAAAAGATGGTCGCCACTTTTAATTCAGAATGGTATACTAAAGTTTGTTTGCCGCAGGTTCCCCAAAAGGTCCGCAAAAAACGTCTAACAGGAAGGATTATCTTGCAACAAGATAACGCTCGGACCCACACTGCTGCTCGAACAAATGAGTATTTGAATGCCCAAAACAGAAATAATGGGACATTCGCTGTATAGCGCCTAATAACTTCTTATTTATCTGGTAAATGATAAATTACAGGTTTTACGTTTTATATCGGCTGACGAAGCTGCTGATGCCTTTAAAAATGAAATAAACAAACTACGGCCAGAAGATTGAAGAAAATGTTTTCAAGAATGGTTTTCGCGGATGCAAAAATACATTGACTGTGGAGGAGAATACGTTGAAAAAATATAAATAAATGTTTTTGTAAATAAATTGTTTTACTTTACTAGTCTCAACGGAAACAGAACGGCTCTCATAATAATACTCTCCTTATCTCCTTATGAGTGAACCTCTGAAGCTCTAAAAGAAGAGTTATTACTATCTCAAAGAAAATCACAAAATGTTATCTAAAAGTAAATAAACCAAGAGGGAGACTATGCTGAGATGGCGGATCAAGAAAGGAAAGAATCGAGAAGAATCACAAAAATCCATAAGACAGAAAATATGAAACATAGGTGGCTTGGCCAATTATCAACGTTCAAGGTATGCATGTACAACAATATGTATGACCACAGTGCTGGCAAGATCAAACCTTCGGGTCTGCTTTGTTTGCATTAAATTGAATAATAAATAGCATTCGCATATGCAGTAGAAATAACGATATACGAGTAGTATCGATGTTCCCACAGAATAGAGTAGAAATCGTCAAACTAACCTAGATCACAGGGGTATCCAACAATTGATATTTGCCCTGTGTATAAATTTCAGTGGTGGCGTTGACTGTTAGCGTTTTAATGTGTTTAGTGTGTTTTAACGTATTATTTATTATAATTAGTGTTACTTTTTTATTGGTGCATTTTTAAAGATTGTTTTACGTTTTATTGGCTCATTATGAGCAAATGGAACGTTGGTAAGTAATTTATTCGGCAAATTATTACCAAAATAAAGCATATAACTGTAACCTATCTTTCTTTAGATTTCCAATAGATCGTAGGTAAGTACACCAAAATTTATATAAGAAAATTACCTTATTTAAAATATAAATTTTATATTGATATGAACAATACAATATTTTTCGATTTAAAAAATACTGGGCGTTTAAGCCAAAATGTGGTTAATTGCATGTGGATGAGAAACTCTGCAGGAAAATATTACTTCAATTAGTAGGTAAATATAGATGGTGTGCTGCAGATTTTGGAGACAAGATGATAACAAAAAGTATTATGAAAACTGATCTTTTGCCAACTGCTTCTCCAATAATAATTCCGCATTTGGAGTGTTCATAAAGGGATCTGATCCGTTTTAACGCGGGGCAAATTTGCTGCGACAAACACATGAGAGACAAGTTAGCGCCGGGTCAAATTATAGAGACAACTTAGCGCCGGTTTAAAAAAGAGCGAGACAAATAAGCGCGTGACAAAATATTCCAGTATTCTAATTAAAATAAAAACAACTTAACCAATTTACCTAACCTGTACGGCCTGGAGCCATCGAGGGTTGCTGTATATGGTTCCAGGTCGTACAGGTTAGGTAAATTAGTTATTTTTTTTAATTCTAATTAGATTAGTGGAATATTTTGTCACGCGCTAACTTTGACTCATTATAATTTGACCAGGCGCAAACTTGTCTCACTAATTTGACTCGGCGCTAACTTGTATCACTAATATGACACGGCGCTAACTTGTCTCACTATAATTTGATCCGGCGTTAACTTGTCTCACTATAATTTGATCCGGCGTTAACTTGTCTCTTAAGTACTTGTCTCACCCCGAATTTGATGCAGAAAATTTTTCCCGCGTGGAATTGTCTCGCGCTAAAATGGATCCGATCTCCTAATGATTAAACAATTGAAAATTTATTGATGCCTATTTTATTATTCAATTAGAAGTTGTGTTTGATGATAATAATTTTGAAAATGTTTGTTTTTTAACTACTATATTAAAATTAAGCTATAACTATTATGTTGCATCATCCATGCCAACAACTGTACTTTAGATTAAGAATATTTTATGCAGTTAAAAACATTACCAGAAATTTTAAGAGTTCTGATAATATAAAAAAAAAACTTATAATAATTTGGTTTTACTTTGATTTTTTTATATATTTATGACTTAGTTTCATAGCTAGAACATTCATATTCAAATAATTGTTTCATTAATATGGGTAAATATTCTAAATGGAAAATATTGCGCTCAAAATATCAGACAGAATTAAGATAATGATCAAAATTAATTTTTAAATATTTAAATAAAACACCTTGTAACTTAGTAAGGAGCAATATTTTGACAAGTGAATTGGATTGAACCTTTATATTTTGAGATCAAAATTTACAGTTACAATACACATTAATTAAGTGCCCTACTACAATTCATTTAGTACGGGTCTGAGCAGTCATGATAATAACTAGTAAGTACGCTCTGATTTCTACTACAAAGACGCACGAGAACTGGGCTACACGATATCCAAGAGGCCGCCAGGAACTTAACATTCTGGATATTACCTATTCAACGTGGTAAGTCGTATGCCTATGGCAACATATTTATTATTCACTTTAACACAAGCACAGCAGGATCGAAGGTTTGATCTTGCCAGCACTGTATATTTAAATACCTTAGTAGTCTTGTCAGAAATCAGTTTAATCAAATCTTCGACTTTAGTTCCGGATACGTTGGCTTTGGTAAATGTTGCTACCGCAAGTGTTAGCATTTCATCACACATATCAGTGACAGTTTCATCTTTGGTTCCGCTTTGTTTTATACAATTGACCAATTGAGCAATTCCACTGTATCGTTCTTCTTTAGCAAGCTGCTTACCGGCTTCACAAAATATTTTGATCGGCTTTATATTGAAATCTTGGATAATCCTAAAAACCATAAATACAGAAAAATCCTGTTCAAATTAAATATTTACATTATGAGAAGAACAGCTGTTTTTTTACTAGTTGTTTTAAAAATAAAATAATGTCATTATTATACAAGATGTTGAATATGCATATTGTAGGTAGTAAAATAGTAGTTTGTGCAACAAGTGTGGATATGATGGCCATATCGCACGAAAACGAAATTTGAGCCCGACGCCGTAGGCGGAGTGCTCAACCGTCTGAGTGCGATGTGGACAATCCACTCGAGTTGTACATAATATTTTTTCTACGACACACTTAACGAAAATTTACAAATAAAAAAAAATTTTAGGATCTTAAGACAAAATAACTAATTTTAAAATAATTTATGACTTTTAATAATTTTTAAAATAAAATAAATGAAAAAAAAAAAAAAAAAAGTTCATTTCATTTTTCCCCATCCGAGAATCGAACTTCAGTCTTCCATGTGGAAGGCAAGAACGCTAACCACAGGACCACCTATTCTTTTATTTTATTTTTGTTGCTTTAATACTTAAATTGACTTCATATAGTTTTATTTAAATTAATAAATTATAATTATAGACGAAATAAAAACAGAAATGCTATTATTTATCGATTCTACACAAGAATAATCCATTTTAATGTATGTTTAAACTCAATAACTAAATTAGTTTGACAGCATTCTCACTTATTTAAAATGTTAAAAGTAATAGCAGTCGGTTGATCAAAATATGAACGGTGATTGGTGGATTTCATTTTTATGCAGTGTTCTCACTACCTAGAATAGATATGAAATATATTGGTTCAGCCATAGGGTTCAGCTGAAGGCAATGGCATACTTTTTCGTTTTGTTATCTATGCTAATATCCATGTGGGTGTAGAAAAAAATATCTGGAATGTGTAATGGAATGCTGAAATCTGCTAAACTCCAAAATTCATAGAGATTTTCGGAGGTTCCGGAGCAAGCGGAAATGGTTCCAGTAGCCGGATATTTTACTGTTTCATGTAGATATATGATAAATATAAATATTTTAATTTAATACAAAAATAATTATTTTCAACTTATTCAAAAGCTAGTTTACAAAACACTATGTGTTTAAGACTTATTGTTGCTAAATTACAAATTAATTTATACTTAACACATCCGATCAGTAGCGGCAAAGACACGTGTGACAAAATTATAAACCGCTTGCCTACGTCTCGTGGTTTATCATCTTGTAACACTGTATGAAATATAATATTGTCTGTTAAAAAGAATACTATCCTAAATCCTTTTCTATTAGTTTTTAAAATTTCGCGTTTGAAAGTTTTATTGTAAAAAAAAAATGACAAAGGATAGTTTAAATGGACATAGGATAGTTTTTTTCTCAATCGACGAAAATATGGTTTAAAAAACCGATAAAATGATTATTATATTTTTTTCGTAGTATGCATAACTTATGTATAAGCTATGTTCGATTTAAGGACCAGATGAAAAGGGAAATATTATTACCTCAAAGCAATTTCGAATCCACTGTCAACATTTTGACCACAAACTATTGCTAAAACAGCCAAATAAAGTTTGTCTTTCATTGTACCAAATAAAGTAGGAATCTTAGGTCTGTCTTCATTTGATTTTGATGTAGAATCTATAAAATAAATTTTGCAATGAACAGATGATGATGACAGATTTTAAAACTATACCTTCATTTGGTTTCATATCTATGAAAACTTGCATTGGTTTCACTTCAGATTCTTCACATTTTCCTAAAAACTCAGCCAATTCATTTTGTCTCCATATTGTATTGATATGTTTGTTGATATCTTTTATATTTATTTTCATAACTAGCGAGGGATTTATTATACCCTTTTCTTCAAAACTCGTTTTGGAAGCAGAACTTAGTCTTCGAACTAAAAACGCATTACTAACGTTTATACTGTAATAAGTCTAAATGGTGAGGAGAATTAGTAATACATATAAATTTTGGAAGAAAGAGACAGTAAGAAATAAACAACGTGCGGTATTAATACTTGGGAACATCTTCACATATGATAATATTAATAAACAATTATTGCTAATAGAGCAAAGGCGTTTTATGTTTTTTAAGAAGTTACTAATTATTCGAAGTAATCAATCTAGTGTTGCAGAAGAGATCGAATAGGGTGTTATTTTCGTTAGAAAGTTAAAAGAAAACAGAATTGTTAACAAATCACAAGTACCAATATTAAAAGGAGAAAGAAACCGGTTCGTTTTATTGCATGGCAAAAATTCGAAAGAAAACAAATTCCCAGACACATGGCAACGTGTAACAACCGCTAGCAGATAACCTAACTGTTGTCAATGTGAAGCAAATTATTTTTATGTTCTTAGATTTAAATAAAGTACCCAAAAATTTATGTATTTTAAACTTGTTTTTGCATAATTTTTATAATAAAAGAAATTCTTCTTTTGATATATGACAACTCTGTTAGACATTTCTGAAATTTTCCCACTATCTGAAATTGTAGTATAGAGCAGGAATATTAAGAAAAATTAGTTAGTAGCCATTTTTGCAACATTTATTGGATTATATTATGTGAAAAACGTCATGTCTTTGTTCTTGTTCTTCTTCACGCACGTCGCACTCTGATCTGAAGTGTTTTTGTTATGTTTGCCCGTGACATTAATCGCTTTTGCTGTGTAGTTACTTCATTTTTTGTTTCTGAAATAACTCGGTAACTATGAGATTTATTGCTGTATAAACCAGTTCAGCATATACTACAGACCCTCAATTATTTTTATCGTGTATTTAACTTATTATTTTTATCGTGTATTTAACTTATTATTTTTTTAATGACTTTTATCGTTTTTGCTCTGCACTCTTCAATTTATTAGTCAGATAAACTTTGACGGTGCATGAAAATGTGATCTGTCTGAACTCACAATCTAAATATCTCTATCATGCTAGCAAATTGTTGTTAAAGTTCTTGCAACCCGCTGATAGTGTGTGGTATTCCAGCATCAATTGCCATGTTAGCCTGTTTCAAGTTGGTGTTATATTACTTTTTAACGTTGGTTTTGATATCACATATTGGCATGTGTATGATTTAAAAAGATAGGAAAGCTGAGATTGATAGGACAATTTGTAAGAGCACGTAAACAAAATTATTCCAGATCAATTCTTATTGGCACAGTTTGGGGAAAGTAGACGTAGGGGCAGGTTAAAACTAAAGTGGAAGGACGGTGTAGAAGGGGATGCAACAAATTGGTGATGGATAGCGGACTGGTGAAAAAGACTGACTAAAGTCTGGGCTTGTCGATGGTCAAGTCCAAATAGTATTTTAAACTGCAGTCTGTATACAATTATTATAATGTGACTAGTAAAGAATATATTAGATTTGTTTCTTTAAGAACATGTTTAGATGTAGCACTCTTTTATTTTACTTCTAAATCATTACAGTAATATTTTTTTAATATTATTCATTTACTTAGTTCCATTTTCAATTATTAATATTTTCTTTATTGAATTTTCCATTTTAATTAGTAATTAATATTATATAATAGTTATTTACGTTACAAATCTGGAAAGTATAGTCACCAGGACGAAACAGAAAGTTTTCAAAACCTGTTTATTGCCCGGTTTCAAAAAAGAAAGTGGTTGAAAAATATTTTTACCTGTAGCTACTTCAACCCATTGTTCTTGTTCTACTCCGTGTTTTAAATGTTCTTCAGCTTTGTGTAAAAAGTGAACGTTATTCAAAAGGTCTTGAAAACTCAAAGCATTTTCTTGATAAAATCTAATACATGTCATGGCTGCCCTAATTGAATCTCCCATAAACTGTTGCAACTGATATAGAGAATGCAACATATTGTGTTTTTCTAGATGTCTGCAGATATGGCGGAGATAATCCTAAAATTAAAAGTATTTTAGCTTTCTTGTTAAATATGTTGTCGTATTCTTTATTTTTCTCAAACTTTTCAATAATTCAAGCGTGGAATGTAACGGAATAGACCTGTTTTTCAATACAATAATGAAAAGAATTATCGAATTACTCACCTTCCATAAATCAAGAGTGGAATCAATTAAAGAAATATTTTCTTGTAAAATTCCAATAATGCCGTCTTTGAGGCATTTCATATAAATCTCAATAAAAACGTCGGTTCCTAAGTTATTCTCAATAATATAGTTTAAAGCCAAATTAATATCACCATGTTTTATATAAAATTCTAATAATCCCAAATGGCTGCCATATCTACTCAAATAATAAACGCATTCATTGAAAAAAACGTTATGGATCGGCGGTCTAGTCGAATGTGATTTTGAATCACACTCTACTGGTTGGTAATAATATTTCGATGAAATACTCTCTAAATTTTTCAGCTTATTAAGAATACAAATCGCAGATTCCGATTGGTTGTAAGTAAAACTTTGATTTAGCGTCAAACAAGATCCAGACAGTTTTTCTTTGTCATTTTCTTTGATAATTTCAGAATCAATTGCTCTAGTATTCGATTCCAGAATTTGTATTATTTCATTCAATAAAGGAGGGTTTTTTGTGGGCTTTGTTTCTGATAAAGCGCTAAGATTAGATGCTTTAGAAAAATTTCTGGATCTGGAAAAATTGTCGATACTGTCACATGATATACTATATTCAGATAAGTTGTCGTAGTGACCTGTTTTCTCAAAACATCTTTGGAACTTTTCTCGGGCCAGTTGCAAACTGCCTGCTTTAAGACAGCTCTTGCCCCACACGGCAAAGACTCCTAAAATTAATAATAAAAACTAGAAAAATATTTACATTAACACTAGAAAAAATACTTTTTAATCAAGATTAGTTATCGTGCTGTTTAACATAATAACATAATTACCAAAGAAAAACGAGTTCAAATTAAAAGTGAAAAATGTTAAGTAATTTTAACAGTGTTTTAATTAAAGACTAAACAGATTTTTAATGAAAATTTATTAAAGACCGTCAGTTTTTTTTTATAAATATGTCCAAATTTATGAGTAGTTTCAGGAAATATTGCGACAACTTCACCCACAATGCGTCGGAGCGGGAAACACTACACCAGATTCGAAAACGAATTGGAGCTTGACGTGTCGCAATATATCTCAAAACTATTCTACCGTAATTCCCATATACCTGTGTTATCTAAGCCAGCTTTAGTTGAAACTTCCAGTGCCAAATTCCATTGTTCCCTTTCCAAAAGTTTGTCTCTTAACCGTCGCAATACCGATGCGTCAATATAAGGCCCTTGGGAATATGTATTCGACATAGGAAGTAGACTTAAGCAACCTCTCTCAGCTAACAAACTAAGTAAATCAGCTTGAGAGAGAATGCGATCAGCCAGAGAGGTACCATAATGTAGAGTGCATTCGATAGAAGACATCTTAGCGGCCATAGCTAAAGATCTAGAAAATATTTTTTGATTAGTTTCTAGATAATATTCTTAATGTCTTCATCGAGAATAATAGAAATTTTGATATATTACCAACGTTATTTTATAGACTGCGCACCAAAATTAACGCATAATTTTAATGTTTCGATTTTTGTGACAATATACATATAATTCTTACCTCCGGTATATTGTAAAGTAAATTGAAAACATGATAGCAGTTCTTCATTTTAATTCCAATTTAGTTTGGTTTGAATACGTTTGGCTAAATCTTCAAAGGCGCTTTTCAAGTTATTAAGTGTTTTCCCTTAAAATGAACCACCAGCAGCAAGAAAATCGAAATTTGTCAGAATCAGATTGTATTAGAATCGTTACTCTTCGCGAAGAAGGATACACTCAAGTTGAACTCGCTGAACGGTTTAATGTCACTCAGTCAACCATTTCAAGAGTTTTAACACGTTTTGCTGTCACTGGGAGTAACTCAAGAAGACCCGGTCAAGGCCGTGGAAGGGATACAACTCCCGATCAAGACCGGTTTTTGAGACTTCGTACACTGAGACAAAGATTTGTTACCAATCATTCTCTACGAAACTAATTTTTGGATCGTTATAATTTTAGAATAAAGAGAAGACTTACCGCAGATAACCTGCGCCCTGGAAGGGCATCCACTGGCACATTATTGACCAGAGATCATAGAAGGCAAAGATTGCATTTTGCGCGTGAATAATGAAGATTGGGGAAGAATAAACAGAAGGCATGGGGAACGTTACACACAGTGTAACATTATAGGGACTGTACAGTATGGTGGCGGCTCAGTAATGGTGTGGGATGGGATTATTTGGAGGCTCGTACAGCGTTAGTTAGGATAGATAGAGGGCGGCTTACAGCACAAAGGTATATTACAGACATTAGAAAAGCATGTCTTGCCATTTGCACCATTTATTGGGGAGAATTTCATGCTTATGCATGATAATGCAAGACCACATGTTGCAAGAATTGTGCAACAATATCGTCAGGAGGTTAGGATTTCTGCCATGGTTTGGCCTGCGAGAAGTCCCGACCTCAACCCGATAGAACACGTTTGGGACATCGTAGGAAGACGACTACGACAAGTACCTAACCCACCAAACACATTAGATCAACTGTTTTTGCGATTGGTTGAAATTTGGGATCAATTTGTTAGATCAAATAAGAACGGTAATTCTTAGTATGAGAGATCGTTTTCAAGCAGTAATAAACGCTAGAAGAGGTAATACTATTAGATTAATTTTTTTAAACTTTAACATTTTTCCATTTTGTTATTTTTTATGTCAGTCTTATTGCAATACATTTCTCGTAAAAAAAATGTTTCTTATTTCAGATGTTCTAAAACCAACCTTAAAAAACAAAAGAAAAGCAAAAAAATTATTCTTTGCTGCCGAAATTATAATTTTAAAATTATGCGTTAATTTTGGAGCGCAGTTTAGTTTGAAGGCCAATTTTTATTTGTTTTCACCTAAGGCGTATTCGAAAAACATTTAATAATAGGTCTGTTCCAACAATAATCCGAAACCAGTCATAGGCACCAGGATTCTGCGCAGTATATAATTTGCGGTCCTAATAATCTACTGCGCATAATCCTGGTGTCAATGACTGGTTTCTAATCATTATTGGAACCTATTGTTATTTTGACAACATGTCAGTGAATTGTGGCAATGATTAAACGTTTATTGTCTCAAAATAAACAACAAAGGAAAAACTCGTCCGTGCCACAGAAACTACGAGCGACAATTTCCCATCTGAAAACAACTACTCCTTTGGCTAATACCGCAATGGGATTGCATTGTATAAAAAGATAAATAGCAAAAATAGAAAATAATTTTCAACACTCGAACTTTGATTTTGCTTCCTAAGAAGTAGTGTTTCCAACTTAGCCGATTTATGGCTAGATTTATCCGATTTTATTAATGTTTAGCTGCAAACATTATTAAATAGCAGGTGGTAGATTTTTGACAGAAAATTGCAATCCCAGCAAAAAATAAAGATTATTAAATTTTAGAAATATTAAAAAATATGCAATAAGCGAAGTAAATTAAAAAAATAATAATAATATACAATGTATTGTGTTCATAGAACTATTATGAATTACTAAGTTTATTTTGTTAATCAAACATGCATTATTAATGCAAGCATTAATCTAAATGTTTTATTGGATTTTGGTCTAGTTATTTCAGTATGGGTGACAAAAAAAAAACAAATAAAGGCGGATTTAGCAGATTTTTGACATTTGTTTTGTTTAGCAGAAATTTTATTTTGGTGTTGGCAAGACTGCTAAGGAGAAAGTCATTCTTGAACCGGTTTCGTCCTAATTAGCAAGAAATAAATTAGTAAATTAGTCAGTCAGAATTGGAAGTTATTTCCGTTTACTGTCTAGTTTGTACGATTAAAGTGTTATAAAATCCCAATCATTTATTTATATTTAGAATATGCAAATATGATGTTTGTTTATGGTTTTTGGAATGGAAATAATAGAGCTGCTGTTGAAGAATATCGTTAACAGTTTCCATATCATAGTAAAAAGTTTTTTTATTTATTATGCTATAACTTGGAAACAAGTTAAAAGCGGTAAAGAACATTAGTTTTTTCTTTAATTTCACCCGTGTAATACACTTGTGACGAAGTCACTAAATTTTCCGCTATTTTAATTATAAAAATGTTAATTTCCGCATGTTAGCGTTCTCAAGAACCCCCGTATTTTTATATCTTAAAAATGTCCGCTTCTAAACATTTTTGAGAGCCCCGTCGTTCAAAACATTTCATTATTTACTGAAATTCGAATCCAGCTTTAAACGTTCAACATTTATGTAAATTATCTGGTCAATTTCGCAAATGTCAAAAGGAATTTCCGAATTATTAAAAGCATCCGTCTTTCTGGTTCATATTTTTATTATTATTTTTTGTGGCAATTTATTATAAATAAAGACCAATATTATTTGGGTTCCGTGGTTACCGTTTGTTTTTATTTTTGTTTGTTAATCATATTCATATCGCTTATTTTCAAGGTATTTTTATTGGACACAACCTGAACTGAATGGATTATGTATTTTTTGTCTACGTTGATGGTAGATAATATAACAATTTCAACTAACACATAAAATTTTGAATTGCATAAATAAAAAAATATAAATTAAATATGGTTTTACGTTTTATATTAAAAAAAATATAATGCTTACTTTAACATTTTGATAACCAGCAGATAATCTATTTCTTGAATTGGCTCTTGACTTGGTTGAAGTAATTTTAACATTATGTTGCACTGATCCAGTAGGAATCTGAAACACAGTCACATAATATAAGTAGAGGTAATTAAAAAGATAAGCAATAATTTTAAAATGTGAACTCTTTGAATTGATATTGCCTGTTATCATTAACGTATACATAAGCTATGCTTTTTTTTTAAATCGTGGTTCGTTAGTGGGCTTAGCCAAGATTTTGATTATAGGGAAGGGGATCGTGAATTCTTGACTAGTGAGATAGAATAGAACCGAGAAAAAGTAGGAGACAGAAAATCCATTTCCAGTAGAACCAAATATTTCTATTAATATTTTGTAAGATAATTGGAAGGGCGATGATTCCACATAAAATTGAATGACAGTGACACGGTATAATTGTTGGTTCTGTGCAAATAAATGGGGTGTAATCAAATATTAATATGTAGCTGCTTGTCTAAATTAAAATTATTCTTCGCTGTAGTCCTAAATGATTATTACACCCTGTAGTATTCATGACTCATACTGTTCAGTACAAAAAACTTCCAAGATAAAACAATTTCTATATAACCAACTGCGGTATGCGAGTGACTGATTTCATTATTTGTTTAATGGCCTTTAACAAAATTTTTAGTGTTTAAGGATCAAAAGTGTTATAAAAAAGTGTTGAAAGGAGTAAGTGGACAAGAATTTTGAAAGTGAATTGGAAAGCGATAAAGAAGGTATATTGCCAAGTTGTTTTACTTTTTTATTCCTTATAAAGGTGGGGTACTTAACACCAATAATTAAGATTGACTTCTGTCTCTTCCGAAAAATTTATGTACGTTAGGAATGATTGACTTATGTATCTTCCGAAAAAATTAAGTACATTAGGAATGATTGACTTATATCTCTTCCGAAAAAATTAAGTTAGTTAGGAATAATTGACTTATGTCTCTTCAAAAAAAAAAAAAATTAAATACATTAGGAATGATTGACTTATGTCTCTTCCTAAGGTAGTTTCTATGTAAGTAATTGACTTATAATAATACTTTATTGCTTCCAAAACATTTAGGTTTACAACACGGGTTTGGGTTTTACAAAGTATATACATTTGTAGATTATAACCTATATAATATAGAAAAGAAAACATAATATATAAGTATAACTAAATAACTAAATCATTTCCCAAGTAACAATGCGAAAATCCTCTCACTTATTACAAACTTTCTAGAACGTTCTGTATACAGATGGATAACAATAATTTAATTTAGTATACAAAAATCAAATTAAAAAAATAATTCGTAACGAAAATGGTATTTCCACAAAGTACGAATATAAAAAATAAATCAGTGAGACTATTCATTTAAAATAAATGCCCTAAATTTTAATATATTCCATATATTATTTTCATATTTTCAGTTGTTGTCCAGGGCAGAAACTGTATTATATTGGGCAATCAAAAAGCAAGTGGTTAAGAGTTTCATATTCATTCATGTTATATACAACAGTGCATAATTCATCAAGACTAATAGAATAGTAGTTGCCGTTTAGTGTAAAATAAAGTTTAAAACCGTAAGACAAATTAAATTAAGTACATTAGGAATGATTGACTTATGTCTCTTCCGAAAAATTAAGTATATTAGGAAAGATTGACTTATGTCTCTTCCTAGTAAATTCCTATCTAAGTAATTGATGTCGTCTTAGTTTATATAATATATACCTACAAAGGTTAACAAAAATTATTTTACGTTACATACGTCCATGTAAACGAAAATCCAGTGTATATGGATTTAAAAAATCGTTTTTCCAAATTCCTCGGAATTCACCCAAAATCTATCAACTCTTTGGAAAACGAAACACGCGAAGATATATCCATAAAATGGAATTCATACAAAAGGTAGACAAACATGTACTTGAATCGCTAAATAAAAAATATCCTACAGCTAATAATTGCAAGTCTCTGAATGCACTGATTATGAACAAGGATGTAGAAATGTTTCTCTCTAGACAATTTAAAAAATGATCGTTTTTTGACAGAACTACAAACTTTTTTGATTCAGAAAAACCTTTTTCAGAGTGTACCTACCTATATAATAAATAATTATTTAGTACTTGTACCTACTAATTGACTACAAAAAACAGCAATGAATTTAAATTCATGTTTAAATTTGTTTAATATGTTATTTATAAATTATAATTTCGTATTAATACTTTGATTATTTGCTGCTAAATTATTTAGGTACCTACTTTAAAGTAGTCGCAGTCTTAAGGTATTTTAAACAAATAAATTTCTGTTAATTTGACTAATATTAATTTAATATCAATAAATATTGGAAAAATAAACTTTCAGTTTTATCAGTGTAGGTATCCTGATACAGAATCATCGAATGTAGATGCATTTACTATAAAATGGGACCAGGAACATTTCTACGCGTTCCCTCCATTCTCTCTAGTAGATAGTAAAAAAATAATAATAATTAGTGATAAGTCTGCGGGAATAGTGGTGTTCTTTCCAGTCTACTGCCAGACTACATCGATGGTTGGGATATTATTCGGAATTCGTTTTTAAATAGAGGAATTCCCAAAGAAGTTCAACTAGCCTCTTTAACTGAGAGTTCATTAAAATAATATAGTCAATGTTTAAAAAAGATAGGGATCGTTTTGTCTAAAAAATAAACTATAATCCGTTTGAATACAAATTAATAAGAGTAATAATTTTCAGAAATACAAAAATCTAAACTATAATTTTCTTCAATAAATACACATAGATCATCACTATCAATAATTTTAAATAAAGAGGATGGTGCGATTCTAAAGAGATTTATTAAGGGTATATATTTTAATCTTAATCCTCACCAGCCAAAATATCGAACTACTTGGGACCCTGATTATGATATTTAAAATCTTTATATCATTTAAAAAATCTGACACTAGAAATTTTAAGTTACAAACTAGTTACTTCAATGGCATTAATTTCTGCCCATAGAATGCAGACTATATCAAAGATTTTGTTAGGAAACATTGATAAAAAGGGGGATGGAGACATAGAAATACATATATATGATAAAAATTAATATATCTTTACTGAAATTTCCAGAACAACCTAGTCTATGTGTGGTAAAAACCTTAAAATACTACTTGGAAACAACCAATAAACTCAGACCACGAACAAAACTATTTTTAACGTGGAATAGGCACACACCACGGACCTCTTCTGTCGAGGTGAAAATATAGACGGTATTCGAGCCACTGTGAGCTGGAATGTTTTCATAAAATTTTACAAGCTGTTAAACAACCAAAAATTAAGTACTTTTTCTCTTGATACATCCTACAGGGTGTAATAATCATGTAGGACATCAGCGAAGAATAATTAACAGATTGATCGACTTACCTGTACGGATGAACGATCCAAATTATTCGTTGTCCGTAATGATTATTACGTCCCACCCTTATCCCCATCCCATCGCAATCTAATAAATCAAATAATGCAATGAATCACATACCGCAGTTGGTTATATAGAATTGTTTTATCTTGGAAGTTTTTTGTACTGAACAGTATGAGTCATGCATACTACAGGGTGTAATAATCATTACGGACAACAACCCGAATAATTCGGATTCATCCTTACAGGTAAGTCGATCAATCCGTTAATTAATTTATGTGCTTTTACTTAATTTTATAGTTCCATTTTTGAAATTTTTCTGATACTATTTGTATGCTTTTTGTATTACCAACAATTATGTAATTTGACTTTATTCTATTAAACCACCTAATAGATGCAATTTGTAACATTTCGCATTATGTAATTAATACCACTTTAACTATTTACTTTTTCCAACACCTACTCTTGTATTACAGGCTTGATAATGTCTACATAGGCCGAAACCTGGCTTCCATTTTATTGTGGAAATTATTTCAGGTAGTTTTATTGCTATTGCATTTAAGATCACATTTGAGAAAAATGGATAATATTTCTTATTCATAATACCTAAAGCTCGATATACTCACTTTGGATATTCGATTGTTTTAGAATGATATTTCATAAGGGATAAACACAGTGAAACACTGGGTGCATGTTCATATGAAAACTCTTCTCTAACTATTTTGTTGTGTGTTGAATCATCAGTAAGTAACCAGTAATCATAGACAACGGATTTTGATGAAACAGAATCATTATATTCTGATAGCTCACTTTCTCCTACTGTTTGACGATAACAATCTAAGCATACACGAACTAAAATATCTCCATAAGTAGGAACCTACAAAATATTAATTTATGTAGATTTTATTGATAAATCTTCAATTTCTTTATAGAATATATAATTTATTTTCTGTTAGTTTAAACATCTAATTTTATTATAGAACGGAAACTCTTTTTGAGAGTGATTTTGTGTAATGAAATTAATGGTAGAGCTGGGCCAAGATGAGATTGGTACAGCCACGTGCTCGACCCTGCGCGAAGGTGTGACGTCAGAGGCGGACGTATAGTAATTTATATTACCTCTTCTATTTTAAATTTTGTATTATGATTAATTACTAACTAGGTACTACGATGTGAATTTTATTCTAAATAAATTTCCTTTTTGTAAGTGTTTATAAATAATGATAATAAAATAAGACGGTATTAAAATACTTATACAGGGTGTACCAATAAAAACTTCCAGGCCGGATATTTGGTAAGTAATAGAGATATTTTAATTCTGTAAAAGCCAGTTCACAGAGCACTAAAGGAGCTTCAGTTTTAGATATAAATTGATTTTAAATATGTAGGTCAATATGTAGATGGCGCTACGCTCAATAATTTTTTTTCGATAGGAGGATCATTCTTGTAAAAAATGCATTTTCAAGCAGATTTTGTTCTATGAACTAATTCGATAAATCTAGCCATTTTTGATATACAGAGTGGGTCACTCAAAACAGTTTCATCCTGTTTTTCAGCATTATTCATTGGATTTTAAGAAAATGCTAATACAGGTCGATTTTTATTTCAAATTAAAAATATTTTTACAATACAGACATCTGTCATGTGTCAACCCCCTCCCTTGCACTTCTCCAAGACCTTAATTTTAAATGGGTAATGTACCATGAAAAGGTAATTTAATGGGGGATTCAGAAATATTTCTGTACATTGCGTTACTTAAATTTTATCGCCTTCTAGCAGGATAAAAACTACTACGTAATATATAGTCTGATACTACAATGTGAAGTACATCATTAAAAGGGTAATTTTATGGGGAATTTAGAAATGTGACTGTCCATTGCGATACTTTTAATTGCATCGCCCTCTATCAGGATAAAAACTACGTATTATAAAGTGTGGCACCTTATTTGAAAGCAAATTTAATTACTAATTCAATGTACCACATAACATTAATATAAATATCTTCCATATTGCACTTGCAATAGTTTGAAAATTAGTCAGGCATTATTTTAAACATTAATATTAACTTTATTTTGTTACAAGTGCAATATGGAAATATTTATATTAATGTTATGTGGTGCACTGAATTAGTAATTAAATTAGCTTTCAAATGAAATGTCACACTTTATAATACGTTACAGGATTTTTATCCCGATAGAAGGCGCTAAAATTAAAAGTATCGCAATAAACAGTCATATTCCTGACTTCCCCATAAAATTACCTTTTCAATGATGTGCCGTACATGGTACATTCCTTATTTAAAATTAAGTGGAAGGGAGGGTGTTGGCACATGACAGATGTCTGTATTGTAAAAATGTGTTCATTTTGGAATAAAAATCGACTTGTTTCAGCATTTTCTAAAAATCCAATGATTAATGCCGAAAAACAAGATGAAACTGTTTTGAGTGTATATCAAAAATAGCTAAATTTATCGAATTAGTCTATAGAACAAAATCTGCCTAAAAATGCATTTTTTTACCTGCGTCATATAAGAAAGATCCTCCCATAAAAAAAAGTTGAGCGCAGCGCCATCTACAAATTGACCTATTTAAAATTAATTTTTATCTAAAACTGAAGCTCTCTTAGTGCTCTGTGAACCAGCTTTTACAGAATTAAAATATCTCTATTACTTACCAAAATATCCGGCCTGGGAGTTTTTATTGGTACACCCTGTATATTACAAAAATAAACATAGACATAAATCTAATTTTCGTCCGATTCTAAATCAGAGATATGTTGTACTCCTAAACTAACGTCACTGTCTTCATCTTATGACCAACTTTCATCCGATGATCCAGTATTCACTGTAAACCTTAAATGGTCCATTGCGGAGTCCAAAAAATGTTCTTTTTTAATTTGTGTGGCTTCATATGTTGACCCACTCTTCTACTTGCAATGTCGCAAACTTTCAATTGGGTTGAACTCAGGGTGATAGGGTGGAAGCCGAAGGACTTTGTGACCGTGTGCCTCCAATAATCTGTCTAATTTAAAAATTGCCGGAAATCAGTATTTATTATCTTTAATAATTTTGTACAATTCCGGTTTTGTCATTGATTCCTGAAAAGGTATGTCTTTTTCTTTCAGCCATTTTATCATGGCTAATTTGAAACTCGCTGATGTAATATTTCGTTCCACAGTTACATTGTGCCATTACAACAACAAAAACACAATACTTATATGTAAATATAAATTACAAGGCACTATAATAATTATATAAAATTGTCACTTTTCGCACTCTGTTCACTTTGTATATACTCGACCCAGGCTACGCCACTGAACGACTAAATTTGGCTTCGCCGAGTGGCCGTCGCTAGGCAACAGCCAGTGCGCAACTTTTGTTGTCGCCATGCTGTGTACCAATCTCAACTTGGCCCGGCTCTATCTTCCTGTTTACACACTACTAAGGTTCGTTTCAACAAAAGTTAATTAATTCATTGTGAAAAATGGAAATTTCGAATCGTGAATTTTGAGTGATGATTTCTTATAATTTTAGATACGATCTAACACCGCAACAATGAGTGGAAAACTTAGTTCGTTTTTTTTTGGGATGAAGCATCATCCAAAACTATGGTTTACATGGTTTTCAGAGTTCAAGCGTGGAAGGTCGTTCAAGCACCTCTGTTGTCGCGTAAAATGATTATATAAGATCGGCATGTGACATAGTGGGATAGAGGCATCCTTAGACTTAGCAAGAAAAAGCTAGAAGATTTGAAGCTGGTCATTCAAATTCTGTATTATATCATCGTAACGTATGACGAATCTTGGATATATTCATAATAGCCAAACTAAATATCAATCGAGTGTATGGCTGTTTCAATATGATCTTAAACCAACAATAGTTATGCGTTCAAGAAGCATTTTGAAAAAATATGAATGGTTGTTTATTAAAAACTAGTATTACACTGCTATACTTCAATTTTGATTGCGGAAATTATCGTTGAAATCAGAAGAAGCACTATAAGCCGTCGAATCATTCTGCATCATGACAATGTAAGCGCTCAGGGTCGTGTGTGCCTTCTTAGATTTAGAAGGATGGTTTGACAACACGCCGCACAAATGCGTCAAAAGAGCACTCGCATACAGAGGATTAGATAGCAACACATCCAAATAGATGGCTCCGCTGCTATCTACAAGAATTGCGGACACAGATCCATCTCCATCTGAACGACCAGAGGCTGTCCACAAGGAGGACTTCTATCCCTACTAATGTGGAGCCTAACCGTAGAACTTCTATGCATACCTCATCAAGGTTATGCGGACGACATACAAAGAGGACTAAAACAGATCAAGAGATGGTGTCACGGGCTGGGACAGCACAAACAACACCAAAACAACCAAGTAACCTTTTCAAGGAAAAGAGAACTTAATCTCAAAACCGTCAAATCAAAAAATGCTAACATTATTTACCTATAGAAGAACGAAAAAGAAGTAAAGTTTTGTGAAAAATCACAGAGCTGGGCTGCAAGAAAAAATGGACCCAAGGATCCATCGTGCTTGCAACCGAAAGATATGTTATTTAGTGGTATAAGGATGGTGCCAAAACCGTAGAAGGAACTGGAACAGAAGCGTATGGGCCTACAACCAGGCACTCTGAAAGTTGGGGAAAATATGCAAGCATCTTCCATGCGGAAATTCACGCCATTGAGAAGTGTATCCAGTTTAACATCAATAGAAACTATCATAGACAAAAGATTATCATCATGTCCGATAGCCAAGCAGCCATCAAGAGCTGATCTCTTACGTAATCAACTCAAAAATGGCCTGGAGATGCCTAGAGAAACTAAATGAACTATGCGAGGAAAATACAGTTATTCTAACTTTGGTCCCAGGACACAACGGGGTAAAGGGTAATGAGGTTGCAGACAGTCTCGCAAGAAAAGGGGCTCATACATCCTTTGTACGACCTGAGCCGTTTTGTAGTAATAGCAGTAACAGAAGAGATTAAAAAATAATTGGGAAAAAGAAGAACCGACAATTGGAACGATCTCTTCGGCCCAAAAGAGTCCAAGATACTTCTTCTGAGTGACTATAATACCATACAATATTATAACATTTTATCTATATAAGCAAGAACATGCTACGCATAGTTACCGGACATTACCGACTTAAAGGACATCTCAGTAAACTGGGACTAGTAGAAGATATGAGTGAGGAGAAGGACGAAACCTCCATTCACATTCTGGCTGAATGTGTAGCACTCCAGAATTTAACGACACTATACTTAGGAGCATACCTGATAGAAGTGGCGGCTCATGCTTTAACACACAGGTGGTATCAGGCCAGTGTATCACGCTCACCAAATTTTGATCGCTCCCAAACAAAAAAAAGTGCCAAACACGCAAAATAAAAAAAATGCATCTGTTGAAGCTTGACGAACTAGAGGTGGAATCCTTCTACGTTTTTGTGATTTCCAAATCGGAAAGATGTCTTCCAAATTCTTTGATTTAAATTTTGTCCTAAACAGTATTTTTATTTATTATTATACAAAACGCTAATAAAACATTAAACTTATGTGGCTCGGCTCCCCGATGCACTTACGGAAAACATGCGACTGAAATACCCAAAAAAACTAATCCGAGCCTCCCGATCAGGAGGCTCCCTTTAAAACGTATTAAACACATACTTTCTGCATGTGTGACGTAATGGGTTTTTCAATATATTACTAAGCTAGCGGCCTGGCCGTTGTGAGATGTGTTCGGACGGAATATAGTCTAGTTAGTTGAGTCAGTCGCTTGAATTATTTGTTGTGTCTTGGAATAACATGTTTTCCGAGCTGCTCAGTCTCTTGCCAATGTTTTCATCACATCTACTGTCTTTCCTTTTTCTGTTCCTATTTCTTTAATTTGATCTATTCATATACTTCTTTGTCCTCCTCTTATTGTTTTGGTGTTTTGTCGAAATTAAAAACATTCCATTTACAAATGCAAAAATATTTTTCATTTTTTTAAATACATTTTTTTCTGAACAGTAATCAAAATAGCGGAAAGATTAACTGTAGGGGTTCTATTATGATAAATAAAATATATTTAAAATTATCAACAATAGTCGTATTTTTTCAATTTTCATATTTTATCAAAATGAAAAAGTATGCTTCTATTGGAAATTGAATCTGCGTCGCGACATGCAAAGTTGATAAAGTTGAACACTCTATAAACTGAGCCATCAGTTTATGTCACATGAATTTTTCTAATCAAAGATTTATATCAATCAGAAAAAACAAAATAATGTAGTTACTTTAAAATTATTTTAATAATTTGTTAAAAATAAATATCTAGGATCTAGTTATAAAAATTAGTGTTAACAATTTAATCATCAAATAGATTTTACTATTAATATGGGCATTACCTATGTAGATCAAATTAGAATTTATGCGTTCGATGTATTTGACTGCTGATGCAGAAAGAAGATTCATATTCACACACGGATGGAAAGTAGATTCATATTCACACATGGGTTGAAAGTAGATTCTTATCCACACACGTGTGATATAGGGTATTTTTCATAATAATGAGAAAGGTGTCCACTTTCCTAAGTGGTCATGTTTTGTTTCACATTTCCCGCGAACTTTAGCAATGCTCCCTCGTAGAATACGGACAGATAGAAAAATAAAGTTGATACTTACCAACATTCGTTGCAAAGAACAGTTATAACAAACAACTCGACCGCATCTTCTGCAGTGATGCCTGCGATTGAACATGGAAAATACAATTTTTTGGCAACACATACATTCTAATACTTCATTATTAGACACCCAATCGTCTTTCATTGGCACTTCATCAGGCATAACAAAGTTCTTGCTATCAGAACCGAAATTCAACGAATCTAAAGACTGCATCAATTTATGTTCGGGAGTTCTTAAAAGTCTTGGATTTGGTTGAGTTATTATACGAAAATCAAGACTTTTCTCAGCATAGATTCTTAAAACTTCGTCAATCTTTTCTACTGAAATTACTTCTTCATTAAATTCCGTTTGAGATATTTCAGATTTCAAGATATTCAGTACAGATGCCAGTTTATCAATTTTGGTATTCATTATTAATATTTCAATTATACTAACTGGTTCATAAAGAAGACAAAGTAGTTGGTCTTGTTCGTTTTGTGCAAAAACCGATAGCATCTTTAAACTGATCTCTACATTCTTTAAAGAATCATTGTTAACGTTATTTAACAGATAATCTACTACGAATTGCAGGTGTTCAAGTTGTCGGAGTAATTTTATCAAATTATAACAAATCCTCATACTGTGGTTAAATGGTAGAGTGTCTAATAAGAGTTTTACCGAATCAAATACAGTGATATTGTCAAATATTCGTATTAGATAATGTTCGTTAATTTTTTCCAATAAAGCTTCACTTGGTGTCTGAAGGTCAATAAAATCCAACAAAATATTGATCTGAAAAACATCGTCAGATTAAAAATTATATACATTTATATTGATACTTCTTTCAATTACGAAAACTAGGCGAATTACTATTGTATCTTTCATTAGATCATAAGAGACTGGGTTGGAGGTAATTAAGAATCCTTCGCGGACCTAAATTGAAGAAATTGGAAACACTTTAACATTTTATTAACATCTCAAAATCATTGTTAGTTATTTATACCTACAATGTCGTCAATCTTACAGAAAAATCAATTACATTAAGAGAAAAATTATAAGAATTGATTAAGACAATATTTTAAAATTATTATATAGGTATACAAAAAATACATGTTAGATTTATAGAATTTAATTTTGGTGATACATTTTTATATACGTTATAGCGATATAAATAGAGTTATAAATGGCGCTACGACACAAAAAATTAGTCATCTCAAATGATTTAATTACCTTTTAAAAATTATGCTATATTATATTAAACAATAGAAACATTAAAAATACATATAATCAATAAAAAATAACTTAGATGAAGGAATATTAAGATGGTTTGGACCTTTTTATTATAGTCCTCACACAGTAAGTCTGTGAAGAGTATTATGCGCTTGGTTCCGTCCGTCCGATGTTACGTTTTTTATCCGGATAACTCAAAAACGAAAAATGATATCAATTTGAAAATTAAAGGAAAAATCAAGCTCTATATGGGGAAGAAGCTAATTTATTTTGAAAATTATCTAAATAAAAATGGGGGGTGAACTGGGGTTTAAATATAAAAAAAATCTATATGTATAATTAAGTAAAAATATTCTTACGTCGTTAGATGCTAAAAGTTTATCAATCACAAGTTCCTTGTTACTGTCTGCCATTTTATAAGCCGAGTACCAAGACGATACATCAAGTATACTTTTAAGCTGAAAAATATGAAAAAAATCTTTAATTACCGAAATAGTTTTTTTTTTCAGTTTACATACAAGGTTTATAAAATTTTCAATAAGCTACAATTATTACTAATTCGTTTAAAAGAATAAATCGTAAATTTTTATACTATAGGTGAGAAGAAAAAACTTATAAATAAGTTGATAATAAGTTTCTCTGAAAATATATGGCAACGACGAGATGAATAATGTGTATTAATCTCATTAATTAAAACTCATTCCACAAGTCTATTATTGAAAACAGAATTTCAGAAATGTCTTATTATCATTTTTGTATTTTTTATGGTCGTTTCTTGCCTTACAAATGGCAGATCATTTCCTTTGCGCAGGGTAATTGTTTTTTATTCTTGTAAATTAACAAAGTGAAGGCTTTTCAATGCTTCTTGGCTTTCGTATAATTGAAATTAGTTATGGAGAAAATGTTCCCATGGCAACGGTTATCATAGTAACGATTAAGCTACGTGGCTTGAGTGAACATGGCAGGGACGATACAGTTCCGTCACTATAGGGTGGTAGCTGCTATAAGTACACCTATCAGTTACGCCACTACCACGTTTCGAAGTGATTAAAATGCTAATAAGTATTTTTAGGAATAAAAACATCGATTTAAGGGTTTAGATAAAATATTGTTTCTATTATTTTGAGTTTTAGATTGTATGAAATTGTTTTTTTATTGTGTGACTCTTTAATTTTTTTGTTGAACAGTTTGCAGAGTTAATTTTAATATATAATTTGGCTCGGAAATTTAATAAAATATGTATAAAATGATATACACTCAAGTGAGAATTATAAAAGAATGGAACGATTCACAGGCATTTGTTGTTCTATACATAATATCTGTGGTACAAGTCCACATACTTGGTGGAAAATTACTTTCCACATCAATTAAGGAATATAATTTTCCACTATGTATTCACTTAATAATAATAATAATAAAAAAAATCGCCTACTTCGTGCGGTTCCCAAAAACGAAGGTCAAAAAATATTCTTGATAAAGGTCCGACACGCCCAACATAGGGCGCGGCCATTTTGATTCCTATGCCACAGTTTATAGCTAAAGAATCAGATCGCTCACTCTGCGTCGGCACTTTTGATCTCAATGTTCCAGTTTATACACTGCGCAACTCGGATAATAGATTATATGACAACCGCCTATAATAAAACAGCAGTCTTCTGCGTATCCTGAATTTGTATCCCTGGAGGGGATGTTATTTTGGAACTTTCAACTGATCCGAGTGAGCTGATTCTTTAGCAATAAACTGTGACTCCAAAAATAATATTCACTGACAGCAGCAAGCAAAATATCAGGTGCGTTTTAATCATCCGCTTCTGCTTCTGGAATTGTCCTATTAAAAATATTGCGCCAAGATGTAGGCAACACGTAATAAGGGATCAAAATGGCGGAGTTTTATATCTCCTTTTAAAAGGCACTCAGAAAGCTGCGCAGTGCGACCATTCTCCGTATAGTAAAATAAAATCAAAGTATGTGGTTATAACGCTGTATAAGATTTTAATCAAAATTATATATAGTAGGCACTCACAAAAATAACCAAAAATTCAATTAAAAACAGAGGAGAAAAAAGAAGAAAAATGATTTTAATTAAGCACGCATGCGCGAAAGTAAAAGTTCGTATTTTATTTAGGAACTATTAGAACTAATAACAAACATGTTTTGAACAAGTTTTTAATCTTACTGAAACACCAAACAAGTTCAATTTGTTTGGAACTTTGCTCATACTAAATATGTTAGGAACTCGCTTCGGGAACAAACCTACTGCTGTTAAGTTTTATTAGAAAAGAAAGTGTTACTCAATGAATCTTATTTTAGAAGTGAATTGAGTTCCCATAGTGTGTCATGAATATAAAGCAATAATTATTATAGAGTAGATGAGGCTATTCTACAATTTATGATTAAACTTCCATCTTCAATACTGGAAATACAAGGAACACTTTTGGTCTAAGTGAAGTTGATAAACAGCTTTTAAACAACACACTTAATTTACCATCATCGACCGCAGATAATAATTTGGATGACTTCATTTATATATACCGGAGAATAAAGCCTTCGCTAAAATAAAAGTATGGTCAATTTTTGTCATTGAAAAGCAAGTATTAGTCTCCGACAACACTGAAGCCTGATGGCCTATTGTATTTGACCCATATTAATTCATAGTACCCACTCTATCACCTTAGCCCCTTGTACACGTTTGTGCAAGTCCTTGACAGTTGAAAAGTATATGTTTGGCTGTTTCTGGTTCCTTGTGAAAGAGTTGACACATTATTACACACGCATATTTTGTTCAGGTGTCCCTTTAGAGGGGCATGTCCAGTCCCGACTCCTGTTGTTTTCAACTGGTTCCTATTCATGGAGAGTAGTTCTCCTGTTCTTTTTGAACATGGTCTTCTAATAAAGGTCTTCCCATGTGCTTGTTTTCGGATTTTCTCCCAATAGTTGTTGTGCTTTCTCCGAATCCAGACATTTATGAAACCTTGAACTGTACTTTTTGATATTCCAAGGTTTATATCTGGTGTCAGTATTTCTTCTGACCCTCTCTTTGCGAGTTCGTCAGCCTTTTCATTGTCCTCGATCCCTTGATAACCTGACACCCAAACTAGTTTTATTCTAATTCGGTCTGTCAGTGTTCTCAGTTCTTCGATGCAATTCCATACCAGCTTCGATGTCACTTTCTGACTTGATATAGCTTTAAAGGTCGCCTTGCTGTCTGACATTATTTGGATCTGCTTATTTGCCTTCTATTGTTTGTTCTTGCACATTACAAGAATGTATGAACTTCAGCCTGAAATAATAAAGGAGAATACTCCATCCTCAGTGCCTTCCACGGTCTTTGATCCGTCTGTGTACCAGGTATGTTCCTTAGTTGGGCACTGGGTCCGCTTATCATGATTTCCGTTTTGTTTAGTATTAAAACTGGAGTGTTGAAGGAGAAACGTTTGGTTATGAGATCTGTTCTCATGTCTAGAACGTCCCCTATCACTAACCTTGTGATACTTATGTGACGTATAATGTTAAGATTTACAAAGATGTTCCCTAATCAGTAAACACCTAATATTGCCTCCCCTTGTATCACAAAGTCAAGTGGTGGCAAACCTATTAGTGCTTCCAGTGCTGCTGTGGGGGTTGTTCTCATTACATCCGTTATTCCAAGATAGGCGAGTCTTTGTATCTTGCTTAGTCTCGTTATTGTTGCTCTTTGTTGTGTCTTTGGCCACCACACCAAAGCTACGTATGTTATCGGTCTTCCCACCACATTGTATATCCAATATACCATACTTGGTTTCAGTCCCTATTTTTTCTAAGCTACAATTTGTCTACATAGTTAAATATTAGATATAAAAAGTGAGGTAGCAATACTCGCATTGGTACATTTTTACCTCGGTTGTTGGCGATGAAAAATTTTATCAGTGTCAGTCCAACGTTTATTTAAAAATAACGACATATAATTAATAAGATGTTTAGATTAAAATTGTAGATTTAAATTAAGTAAATTTCAATTAAATGAGTGGGGTTATTGTTCTGGTAATCCAGAGAAATGTCAGAAAAGTGCGAGTTAAAACCTGTATCATCTATAACTTGGCAAAGTATGTATATTATCACCATGAGATTTTGGTTTTTGTTTACTCGTTAGCATGGAAACCGTCGCCAACTTTCCCCATAACTGAAGTCATCTAAACGAAACTTGACTTCTTTATTCTCGCGACGACTGATGTTTGTCAAATTTTGCTATTTGTAATACAAATATTACGGATTCTTGTACTTGGCAAAAATATTTTTAACTCATTCTTACCTTCTCGCACAAAGTAATGTGAAGTAACCACATCTTCAGTTCTACAAGTTTGCCATCTTGCATTCCATCATATCTGGATATTTCCGAGTTAATAACATCCAAACAAAAATATCCTTGCCAGTTCTTCATATGATCCAAGATCATACTTATACGCATATCTCTATTGTTAATAAATAAAACGTAACGATGATACTCAGGTTCCAAAGCATCTTGAATTAGACTAACGAGTACAGTGTCCATCATATTAAAAAAGACGCGATTTTTTTTCATTTGATCTTCTGGGACGCATCTTATTAGATCGAAAATGTCTTTCCAGTTAACAGAGCGTAGCATATCTTCTTGCAATTCTTCTCCCGTTTCAAAACTATCATTAGAATTTTGGCTATAATGAGAGGCTGTCAATGACTCTAGCTGTAGTATCCGTTCGTTTATAAAATCTGACATTTTCTGCACGTTAATTTCATTTTGTAATGCAGTGACAATGACATTATCATTGTAGAGTTGTTTCAAAATGGCAATTTTCTGTAAAGCAAGATAATTCATAAACACTCTTACTCTTACTTCGTTAATATCAATGAAAACTCCTTCTATTGTATACATTTTATTTAATATATAAGCCAACAACCAATTTCTTCTTTGAATGTAAGTTATGATACCCTTAGTTGGAATATAAAGATTATTTTCTGGATACAGTTCTTCTTTTGTAACATTTTCTTGGATATGAAGATTAATTGTTGGAAAACAGTTGCCTACTACATGATACAAATAATCTAATTTTAATTTTCCGAAATATTTTTCGAATTCGCTTGGATCCAAGTTACGTTCAAACAACAATTTTCCCATAAGTTCCGATCGGTTAAAGGTCAGTAAATCAAAGTAAGATGTGTTTTTACCTTTTGAAACAATATCAGAAGTATTTTGTTCTATATACAATATTCTAGCAAAAGCTTTCAAATAGTTATATAATTTCGAAAGATATTTTATGTTTTCAGATAAATTGGCATCGGAGTACTCTACACATAATTTATTGATTTTTAGTACAGATTTATGACTAGGGTGTTTACTGTTCAAGAAACCAGACTCAGTTAATTGCAAATCTTCAATGACTTCATTATAAGCTCGAGATAAAGAATTATAAAATTCTTCTTGTTTTGTATATTTATTTAAATCTATTTTATAGTCGGGTGATGTTAGGATTTCACCAATACTTCGGTTTTTTTCTTTGCCAATTTCCTTAAATAGTTCTAGAAGCTTTTTACAGAATTTGGCATAATTTGATGTTATATTACAATCCAAAGAATTGTTTTCACAAGCAAGAGCTAAAATAATTTCTGAATTTTCAAAATTCTGTGGAAGAGTAATAGCCAAATCTAACATATTCATAAAAACTTCATTATCAGCGGTGAGATGCTTGAAAAAATTGTATTTTTCTGATATGGCGTTAATCCGCTGTTCTATATTTGGATTGAAAATGACAGAGTTCTTCTTAAAGAATTGATCCACAGTTTTGCCAACAGATACCTCTAGTGTTGAGAAGGATATTTTCGGATTCACTTTTTGAATTGTTTTAAGTCTAATTGTTTTCTTTAAAGTATCTCGTAGATTAACCAAATTTTCACAAAATTTAATTTCATTGGTTAAATGAGGATCTTCCAATGCAAATATCTGAAAATAAAAGATAACACATTACTATAAAAAAATAATACTCTTTGTTATTTACAATGGTAACTTTATTTTAGGAGGATAAACATGATTTTTTCTCAGAAATTATTAGAGTTGAGAACTTTTAAAAATTGCTAATTTGGGTAACATTGAAGTTTTTAATTACAAACATGAACATTAAAAAAAATAAATTAGTAAGTTTTCGTTATTTATACTTTTTTTTTTGAAAGCAACTGTACCCGAAATTTTAGAATAAATCAAAATAAATCATTTTTTAATGTTTTTTACGCATTAAGTCCATCACAGAAGCGTGCGAATTTATAACTGTAGGTTTTGCATTTCTGAAAGCAATGGTTTTGAACGTATATGAAGAAACTATTGTATCAGTCTCTTCTAGGTTTAAATTAATACTACAATTCAGCTATTTTTATATAATCTCCTGCATTTCTAACACTTATTAACTTTTCTGATGACAGCGGTCTTTATGGAGGTCTTCAGTCCACCATACCAATATAGAACTCAAGAAATTTTAGAAATAAATCTTTTCTTTCTGGTGGCGATTCGAACCGAGAATTCTTTATGCCCGTTCTCAGTAATTTGTTTAGAAATGAACAACCGCAGGTGGCGGGATGAGCCCTTTGCGACTCATTTTGGAAAAATCATTGCCAAACATTAATGTCAATAAAATAATGACAAAGCTACTCGTTATAAAAATAGGGTATTATCTTAATTATTTGATTATTTTAGGAATTCTAATCATTCCCAAAACATTTTGCATTTGGCCTCCACCTTACAAAATAACTCTTTCTTATGAAGAAACTTTTGTAATATTTGATCCCATAGACAAAGCTGAACTCCAAGATGTTTACGAGGAAGAAATGATTAATAGAGAAGATATGAGAAACTTAAAAGTAGAATCTCACGATGACAAATATTACAGGATTCATCGCAGTTTAAACAATAAAAATATGAAAGAAGAAAATGAAGAACCAGTCAAGAAAAAAAAAGTATTTGAAGAATTCAATCCAGATAAAGAATATCCTGCTCCTTTTAAAGCGGGCTTAGTTGATGATGAAAAAGAATTTATAAACGTAAGTTTTTTTATTGATTTTATTGGGCATAAAGAAAATTATTTAATTAAAACATCGATAATCGATTTTCGATTATTTTCAATTAATTGATTAATTCGATTAATTAAAATAATCTAATGATCGTTTTGGGGTTAAAAATTATTTTTTTTTTGAGGAGCAATTTATGAACGAAACCAATTACACTAGCTTACTTTTAAAATAAAACAATTAGTGTAAAATCTTAAAACATATTATATTTTAATACTCTTTTTTATATATGTTTCCTTAGGAGGGTGAGTGGCTCAGTGGTTAGAGTCTGGACTTGCGAATCGAAGGGTCTACGGTTCGAATCCCACCGATGGCCGGCATTTTTCAATTTAATTGATTTATTTAAAAATAATTCAGCCATTCACTATTGGGTTCTAATCTTATTAACAGTGCTGGTCCTAAAGTGTCGCTGGGACACAGTAACAAGGCCTGTCTGTAGGGGTATTAGCGTACTAGCACTCCTGCACTATGGAGCATTAGACTACTAACCTACATAGAACAGGAGGTTAATGACCTAAGCTGTCGAAGGAGAAAACACCAAAAAAATATTATTTTTTAGGGTTTTTATTAAGTGTAATTAATTGCTTCGTTCGTAGTAACAATCCCTAATTGATTCAGAACTTCTAATTCATAGTTTGAGCGCATGTTCGATTCATAATCAATTATTTTCGGTTAATCGATTAATCGTTATTTCCTATAATCGATTATTTCGATTAATTGAAAATAATCGACAATTTATTTTGATAATCGCCCAGCCCTGCTTACAATCTGATTCTGATCAAATATCTACAACACTATCAAAAACGAGCATTTCATAAAGTAGCTCTTTATGAGATATACGGAGTGTTAGTATATTCGACCGAAAGCGCTCGTTAACTGAATAATTTTGATATAGGAACGTGAACCCTTAAAGGCATTAGTTAAAAGTTTGAAACTTGCCATAAATCAAAAACGCCTTTAAATATTTTTTTTTTTAATTTTGACATAGGAAGTTACATTTTTTTTTAATCGCAGCAAGTACAAAATGATATTATACTTTACGCAACCAGTTGTATAATGTTGAAAAATTCATTATGTCACCAATACACGACAAAATAACCCACTTTCTTGAAATCTAAAAACTAACAAGCAATATTATTTTCTAATTGTCAATAAAAGAATGAAGTTAATCATACGCAACTAACAATACAAGAAAGTAGTAATATTAGTTGCCTAGTTGTAATTTTTTACCAAAACACAATTTTTTAAACAATCTAGTCAATATTAAAAAAAATATTGCATGTAATACGTTATGAAATGCTGTTTTATATAACTGGTTTCATAAATAGCTATTTTCAAACTTGATGACCAATATGATCTTTAAAAAAAGTAATTTTTTGACAACCAATTTTTGAAAAATTTAACCAGTGGTGCGCTGTCAAGGTTAGTAGCAATTTCCCCCTATTTTTTACGCCACTAGAACGAAAAATTGTTTTTTTAAATGTTGTTAATTTTCAGTAACCTTTTATGGAGCTGAAATGAACTCAATATTTCTAAATTCTAATCTAGTAGGCAGTGACAAATTTTTAATAGTTCGCATATTTGACAAGATCTTGGCAGATTAAATTTGAACAAAAAAATATTTAAAGACGTTTTTGATTTATGGCAAATTTTGAATTTTCATTTAAAACTTTTAACACCCTGTGTCTCAGCAACTAAGCGTTTGATAATTCATATCCCTATATCAAAATTCATCAATTAACGAGAGCCCTTTGTGGTAGAGCGTTGTCGGTCGAATATATTAACACTCTGTATAAAATTATTTTTGTAAGGTACTATTTCTTTTTTTTTTTTATTCAGGATGATGTTATATATTTTGACAGTGGAGACGATGATGAATTTCGAAAAAGGAAGAGAGCTGAAAAATTAAACTCCACCAATGAAAATTATGATTATAACAATTTAAAAAATCAATATGATCATGAGCTCCAACAATCTGAAATTTCAAATGACACGGTAAATTATACAAATGTAAAAGAAGATGAGTCAATAAAAGATAGCATTAAGACCCTGTTAAAAATAAATATGGAACCGAAAAACTGCACAGAAGAAGAAACAAAAGGAATAGGTATTAACTTAATTAAAATAACAAAAGTATGTTAAGAACTAATAACATGTCTCCACATTCCCATTCTCTGTCATTGCATACGCCTCATGCCTCATATTAAAGAGGCATAAGTACTTGGATTCAGCTTTTCTGACACTCTAGCTCTGATCTTTAATAGAGTTGATGCCAGTTTGCAAGACCGCTTTATTGGACACATTCTAATCATTTAAATAGATATGGCCAGACGCTGCCCTTAAACTCAATGGAATAAGTGATTTAAGACTTCCTTTTCTCAGCATATGGCACCAAATTAATTTTCGACGATTATTCTTGCTTTAATAGAGAGTTATTGCAAGTTCACTTAAGGTCAGTCACTATTAGTGCCGCTCTTATTTTGACATCTGAGCATGCGCAGATCACTAACTTTAATAAAGATTGTGCCTGTTCTTAATAGTTCATCTTTTTTGTTGTCTATAATATTAAAGAGGCATTAAAAATTATAATTTTAGAAGGTTTAAATGACGATTATATTAAATATTTAATATTAAAAAACTTCTAACGGATACGAATGTCGGCGAGCGCATCCGAAAACTATAAAGTCGCCACTACCTGCTGCCCTTAAACATCTACAATTAAGGACAGGCACAATCCTTAATAAAGTCAGTTTTAGAACATAAACATCTGCGCATGCTTAGATGTCAAAATAAGAGCGGCACTAATAGTGACTGACCTTAAGTGAACTTGCAATAACTTTCTTATTAAGGACATGCACAATCTTTAATAAAGTTAGTGATCTGCGCATGCTCAGATGTCAAAATAAGAGCGGCACTAATAGTGACTGACCTTAAGTGAACTTGCAATAACTCTCTATTGTTAACCAACCTTAATTCTAAAGCGACAGTTATTGAAAGCGGTATTGTACTTTTTAAACAATATCGTAATTATGTAAACTCTGTTCTTTAATTATACGCTAAACAATAAATTGGGATACTACAATTTAATTGGCAAGTCTTTACAGCTCATTACAGGCTTAATTTCAACGGCCTCTAGTACTTGTTATTCAGCCTCCAGTAGTTTTCGTTGGCTACGTGTCCTACTTTTATCGGTATCAGGATCACTTAAATACTGAACAGTTGCTACAAACGTACGACAGTCAGGCATAGAAATAGTATAGAAAGCCGATTCCATATATCAAAAATGAAACCATAAGGAGAAAATAGTGTGTCGGAGCTCATGCGTATAACAGTGCTGGCTCGAACAGGACCGGTGCAAGTTTTTTATTGATCAAACAAATAGTTGGCACGATGTTTCAGTCATATATTTTTAGAGATGATTCTATAAAGAAAACGATGAAAAAAATCTAAGTTAAGGTAAATATGGTTCTGAAAGTGCTTATTAAAGAAAGATACGGCATAAAATATGAATTAGTTAATTTTCGGCAATCATTAGAACTATAGTCACGAGATTTTGCTTGTGATTTGACATCTTATTTGATTTAGTATCATTTTCTACAACTATATTGTTTTGAACTACTTAAAACATTTTCACTCGAACGGCGTACGTGATTCAATTTAAAAATACTTTCCAGAATAAAATCACGTGTTCCGATTTTGACTTCTTTTATTATTAAACACCGAAGTTATATACAAAAACGTTAATCCACAATCTAAATTAGGTACTATCTCAAGAAAATCACTGTTACAATTAATTATTTAACCAAAAACTAAAATACTTTTTAGATTCGTAACCAGAAGTGGAGTGGAACATTTATCCTAATATTGATTTTCTCTCTCCCTACTTAAAGGTAAAACTTAAAGCAATAACAAATTGCCTATCTACTAGGGTCGGTAACTAAACGTATATTCGCTCCGTGCGCGACAGCAGCGCCAATTTGTTTTGGTATTAAAGGACTATTTCTGCCTATACTGACAAATACAATTTTTAATAGAATTCGTAAATAAAAAGTATATATGTTAGTTTTAATAAAAGTATATGGATTTGTGAAACAAGTAAAACATTAATTTATTATTATTATTATTATTATTATTATATATTTTTCCCGCTTAAATTAAAGAAAATTATGTATAATCAATAAAAATCAATAATAAAATATAGACAGGCAACAGTATTTACTGGAAAATGTATGAGAAGTTGCCTAAGTCTAATAAGTTGTCATTGAAGAATTAGCTTATTCTGTCAACATAAAAAAAATACCATTTAATAATAGCGTGAAGTTAAAATGTATAAAAAAGGATCATTATTAATATTTTCATTTTTGTTCGAAAGAAAACAGAATGAATGATTAAAACTGGTTTCCCATCAGTAAGTCACAAAATTGCATTCCAGCCACATATTATAATCAAAGACAGAAATCTTGAAATCTAGTCCTTGCTGAATGAACATTTAAGAATAAAGGGATATTAAAGAATATCGTAAAATGATAATTTATTGTTTATTTAAAACCTTTCAAGTTTCTGATGTCTACTATTTGCAGCATTACTGTTATTATCACAAAAATAAAGGTAATTTTTCTTCTTATTGTACACCAATCCATTTATTTCTTTGATTTAATTTCCACTTTGCTAGTGAAATTTTTTATATATGTTTCACTGTTTTTTTTGCTAGTATTTGTAGAATTTTCAACACAGCAACTCCGGTTGCTTATTGTATTGTTTTTACCTACTTTTTTGAAAAAAAGTAAATTGTATACGTGTATTTGATATGCCAAAATTACAAAATATCGCCCTAAAATGCACGAATTATCCGCAGCTAGCGCTAGTATCGCTTTTGTTTCCCTTTCCATGACTTCGCACGGAGCGAATACAGAATGGGCGGATTTTGTTCATACTTAACATTACACTCGCGCACTGACATTTAACCTGGATTAAATATAACTATACATATAAATATTTACAAACAAAGATACTTTTCCAAACAGGCAATCATTAGTACTGTAGTCACGAGATTTTTCTTGTGATTTGACATCTTATTTGATAGTATCATTTGCTACAACTAAATTTAATCTGGGGAGTGCAAAATAGGGGGCAGTTGCTTTTCGCCCAGGAATATTATGTTCGACATTTTTTTTACATTTTGTCAGCCGAGACTATGAGTCGTTACTTACAATTAGACAGAAAACCTTTCATGTTTACCATTTTCAATATTAATTAAAAAATACTACTACATTTACTTGGTACATATTTTATTTTAATTTTGAACCCTTTTAAAAGGGTCTTTCGGTTCCATAATAAAAATTAGTCGCTGCTTACTAGAAACATTCTATACAGTCTAAACCAATTTATGGATTGTTTTCGATCAATTTAATACAAAGATTTAAAGTTTTTAGTCGATGATAACATTCCACATCAGCACATTGCAAACCTATTTTATAAATAACAAGAATAAACTTGTAAATCATTAATTTGGTAGTTATCTCACTTATATGTTTTTTTTTGTGTATATGTTCCATCGCTATCAGAAATAATAGAAGTGGCATCTCATTTAAAATAAAACGAAAATAACAGAACTGTTAGAATATTTTGGATGAAAAGATCATAACCTGCTTACTATTTTTAACAATTTTTAACAAAAAATCATTCATTGTTTTGTCAGATATCGATAATGTCTCCCCGTCGCTGGGCAGCCTGTATATAAATATACAGCTCTCTATTTACATAATTATAATTCTTAGGTAGGTTTAGATTTTCAGATATAAATCTTGTAATAAATAAAACAGCTGCTTAATACATTGATTACATTTTCATTAGCCAATGTAAAAATGTCTTTTATTGTACCTAGGATTTAACTAAACACTACAAAAAACTAAAAATAAAATGCCACTTTCATCGTGTAATTAAATAATAAACTACAAACGGTGTCCTGTAAGGGCAGCGTCATATAGTTTTGAAACACCGGATTTTAGTGCTATTGCCAGGTCAATATTGAATTTGTAGGTGAATCGCTTATTGAACATTAATACCGTATTTGTACATATTTTTGGGAATGTAATTACACATAAATATTATTAGTTGATTATTTAAATGTTTATAAGTTATTTTGTGGCGATATTTCATAGATATAAACTGTTTAAATCATATAATTTAAAATTCTTTTCTGTTAGGTATGTTTAATATACTTGGCAACACTACAGGGAAGTCATGCATATTGCGCAAGCTTCTAGACACACTATTTTGCGATGTCAGGCGCAGAGACGCGTTTTTATGCACAGTAGGTTTCAATTTCTGCTTAAATTTTATATTTATATTGGTCTTCTATATTATTTCTATGCACATCAGGTCGTATCACATACTTTGATTTTCTTTTACTATACGGAGAATGGTCGCACTGCGCAGCTTTCTGAGTGCCTTTCAAAAAGAGATAGAAAACTCCGCCATTTTGAACCCTTATTACGTGTTGCCTACATCTTGGCGCAATATTTTTAATAGGTGCGTTTTAATCATCCGCTTCTGCTTCGGAAATGTCGGTTTTCTTGTTTTAATCTGTGACAGGTTAGAACGACTGAACCGACAATTCCTCAAGCAGAAGCGGATGATTAAAACGCACCTGATATTTTGCTTGCTGCTGTCAGTGTCAGTGAATATTATTTTTGGAGTCACAGTTTATTGCTAAAGAATCAGTTAGCTCACTCCGACCAGTTGAAAGTTCCAAAATAACATCCACTCCAGGGATACAAATTCAGGATACGCAGAAGACTGCTTTTTTATTATAGGCGGTTGTCATATATTGTATTATCTGAGTTGCGCAGTGTATAAACTGGAACATTGAGATAAAAAGTGCCGACGCAGAGTGAGCGATCTGATTCTTTAACTATAAACTGTCATAGGGTTCAAAATGGCCGCGCCTTAATGTGGGTCGATACAATACGCTAGTTCAGTGTAATGTCATTTTGGTTCCACTGACATTTAATTCTAACCAAACTTTTAATAAAAACATCAATAAATTTGACATACTTATATTGTTTTAATTTTTTTCCTTCTAAATATTGTTTGCATTTTGCAGGTCATAAAAAATAGTTTAAAGGTATGTAATTGGCAACTAAACGATTGTATATTTGATACATGTTATCTACTTATTTTAGGAATATATTTATAAAAGTTAAAAAACGATACAATTTAGTTAAAACGTACTCAAAACATCTACTGTCACTTTAATTGTCAGTGGAACCATAATTACATCATCACTAAACTAGCGTATTTATAAAATCTGTGGTTGACAAGCTCTTATACTCAGATTTTGAGCCAGGAGTCGGTGACCTAGATTTGTACATGCTCTATGTCAATTTCAGTCGCGTACGCCATACTTAACATAAAATTTCAAAAATTGATTACTCTTTTAATTATAGGTTTTTCCGTATCGAATTGTTATTCACTCAGTGCGAAGTCATGGTAGGGAAGCAAAGGCGATACTAGCGCTAGCTGCGGATAATTCGTGCATTTTAAGGCGATATTTTGTAATTTTAGCATGTATACATTTTACTTTTTTTTCCAAAAAGTAGGTAAAAACCATACAATAAGCAACCGCAGTTGCTGTGTTGAAAATTGTAAAAATACTAGTAAAAAAAGTGTAAATTATAAAAATTTTCAGTAGCAAAGTGGAAATTAAATCAAAGAAATAAATTATTTATTGTTTCGGCCTTTACTTGATGAAAATCCATTTAATTTTGAAAGAGTAAAACCAAATTTGGTAGATTTTCACACTTTTATTTTAAAAATAAAAATTTTTAAAAAAACACTAACATGACATATGTTTCGAAGTACAACTTCTTTTTCAAAAAAAAAAAAAAGAAGTTGTACTTCGAAACATATGTCATGTTAGTGTTTTTTTAAAAAAATTTATTTTTAAAATAAAAGTGTGAAAATCTACCAAATTTGGTTTTACTCTTTCAAAAAGAAATAAATGGATAAGTGTATAATAAGAAGAAAAATTACCTTTATTTTTGTAATAATAACAGTAATATTGGAAAAAGTAGACATCAAAAACTTGAAAGGTTTCAAATAAATAATAAATATCATTTCACAAAGTTCTTCAACATCCCTTTAATCTTAAATGTGCATGCAGTAAGAACTAAATTTCTGCCTTTGATTATTGTATGTGGATGGAATGCAATTTTGTGACTTACTGATAGAATACCAGTTTTAATCATTCATTCTACGTTTTCTTTCGAGGAAAATTGAAAATATAAATAACAATCCTTCTGTTTATACATTTTAACTTCACGCTAATTATTTAAAGATATTTTTTTATTTTGACAGAATAGGTTAATTCTTCAAAGACAACTTATTAGACTTAGGCAACTTCTCATACATTTTCCCGTAAATACTGTTGCCTGCCTTTATTTTATTATTGATTTTTATTGAATATACTTAATTTTTTTAGTTTAAGCGATAAAAATATATAATAATAAAAAATTAATGTTTTACAAACCCCATATACTTGTATTACAACTAACATATATACTTTTTAATTACGAATTCTATTAAAAAATGTATTGTCAGTATAGGAAGAAATAGTCCATTAGTACAAAAGTGAATTGGCGCTGCTGTCGTGTACGGAGCGAATATCGATATTCGACAAAAACATGATGAATCCATCAAAAACCGTGCCTTTAAAAATTAGGGGGTAACTTTATAGTCGTAATGTGCATTTATAATATTTTTTAAGTTTGTCTATAGGAATAAAAATGTGGCAATAGACGCCAGTTTAGTGTAATGTCATTTTGGTTCCACTGACATTTTATGACGTATTCGACTACCTGCACTAGTGCGCACTCAGCTCGCATTTTGCGAGTGCAGTGCAATAATTTATGTTCGGGTTGATTCAGCTCATAAGCGAGCAAATATTTCCCATGTTCGACTACCCGAGCCGAGCGGGGGCAGAGCAATAATTTGTGTTCGGGTTGTTAGCTTGGTTTATCCAGCGTTCGAACTTTTTGGAACTGTAATTTTTAGCGGTACAAGTAGATTGCACTGGATTTTTTTAATAACCTCAATTATGTTTGCTCAGTTTATCTTTTGTTAAAAATAAAAGTGTGTAAATTTTACTATTGTACCTATTTTCAGTTCAAAGCAAACTTTCGTTTGACGAGAACGACTTATGAAAAAATATCAAATATGTACGAAAATTCCACGTTTTATCAAAAAAAAAAAACATATAATAGATGTGACATAACTTCGGCTGCTGTTTCAATTCTGGCCTTTTTATGGTAAAAACAATTAATAATTGATGATAAATTGTAATTTATCAATTTGAAGGTTAGGTGAAAAAGTAAACAAATAATCGGCAAGTGAAATCGGTGCGAACACGAACGCTTCAACTCGGATTTTCACAGAGCCAGCTCAAATTTTTGAAAATTCGCACTGCCCCAGCGCGCATTCGAATCGGCACTATCCGCTCTACCAATCTTGATTTTACATTGCAACTGCACTATCATGTTTCGAACTTGATCGGAGCCAGCGCTGGGTAGTCGAATACGCCATATAATTCTAAACAAATTTGACATATACGTTTTTTCTGTTTTGTTTTTTCTTCTAAATATAAATAGTTTAAAGGTATGTAATTGGTAACTAAACGATTGTATATTTGATGCATTTTATCTACTTACTTTAGGAATATATTTATAAGTGAAAAAACGATATAATTTAGGTAAACAAAACGAACAAAACGCACTCAAAAAATATACCGTCACTTTAAGCGTCAGTGGAACTATAATTACATCATCACTAAAATGGCGTATTATGAGCTAGCCTGTTGTTAACTTTGACAATGTTATAATTTATTACACGATGTTGACGATATTTTACAATCATAATCGAGCCTAATTAAAAAAAAAGTGTTTTTTTAAGGTTTGGGCGCTGTCGAATGCTTATGGATAGATCTGAATAAACCCAAATTAAAAAATGGTGTTATTGAAAAAATAATCAGAATAATAATAATATGGTTTGCCGTCTACTTAGTCATTGCCATTCCACTTTGGTGTCAATATGGTTAGTAAATTATTTAAAGCATTGTTATACATAGTGTCCTAAATATTTTTGACCCTTACTGCCTTTAAGTATAAAATAAAAGTACATTTTCTGGAAAAACCTTCAATCCATGCAGGTAACCAGTTGACGTCAAATCCATGTCAATATCATCTTTCAATTTAATACAGCTTATGTCGAGACGTCTATCTCGACAGATTGCAATTCTTATCTATGTGTCTCTCTATTTAACACGTAACGTGTCGAGTTCGCACATAATAATCCGTGTGTTGGTCATTTAATGTCACAGACGACATAATATGACCCTAAAATAATATTTTTTTCCTACGACCACCTAGGAAAGTGACACATATCACACTATACAATAGTCCTATGGAAAGTGCCCTATATCACACGCGTACGAATAAGAATTTACTTTCCACCCGTGTGCGAATATATATGCTTCTTTCCGCATCAGCTGTCACAAAATGTCAAATGCATCATTTCTATTTTGATCTATGTAATGTCCATATTAATACTAAAATCGATATGATTGTTAAATTATTGAAATTGTTGTAAATTAGATCCTAGATATTTATCTTTAACAACTATTATTAAAATAATTTTAAAAAAACTAAGTTATGTTTGCTTTTTATTCTGGTTAAGCACATAACCGATTAGATCATTCTATTGACGCAAAGCATATTAGCTCAGGTGGTTAGACTATCAACTTTGCCATTTGAGACCTGGCGAGCGACCGCGTTCAAATCCTTCAGGAGACAGAATTTAGTTTTTTTTTGTTTTTTAGTTTTATTTTGTTTAGAAAATATGAAAATTTAATAAATACGATTATTGTTGAATATTTTTTTAAATACATTTTAATTATTATAATAGTAACCTGGTTTTACATTTTTTGATGAAATTGTTTTGTGGTCGTAGGAAAAATATTTTACATCACTTGTGTGAAAAGTGATTTTCCACACTCGTAATGTAATAGCACAGCTTATACAATACAGCTAAAACACTCTCTTGGCGGCAACGGTTTGCGTCGATTTCGTCGCGCATCGCTTAAGCTCCGCCTTCGAAGGGAAAAGACGGTTTTGGCGTTCGGAAGCGTACTTAGGCAAGGTGTTGAGTCGTGCGTATAATTTCGTTGATTGTATAATTTCGTGGAGCCTATAATTTCGTTGATTTTGTTTGAGTTAAAGGTACTGTTATTATTTTGGTGACTCTTTAGCTGTGAGTAGAATGAGTTTGTGCAGTCAAAAGCTGTTTTAATAAGGGTTATACCTGCAAGAAAACATTCTTCAGTTTTCCCAAGGACCCAAACCGATAAGTACTACATTATAAGAAATTTTCATTGTTAAAAATATAATTTATACAGGGTGTCTCATTAGTGCGTTATTGTTCATTATTTTGTTGTAGACACGCAAGAAAGTTTTAAATAAAAGTTATATGGATTTGAAAAATACCTACATATTTTAAAAATATCTTTGGATATACAGGGTGTCACGTTTTTGCCTGGAAAATTAAAATGTATGTTTTTTAAATGGAACACCTTGTATTTTATTTTATGATGAAATTATTAACACCCTAAATTATTGTAAAGACGAATTGCTACAGAAAAATTTTATCGGGTATGTGTGTGGTTACCTTTTAATAAAAGCCTTGCGGATCCACTCCTGCGATACCTGTCTTAAATCTAACAAAGATCACGTTGAATTAGACGATTTTTCTTTTTATTGCTTTTAAAAGGCATATGATAACGCCAATTCAGATACATTTGGAAATCTGCAACTGTCAAATGATGAATTTGTAGAACTAATATTCAATATTGAAAAGATATTTTAAAATAATTTTGAAGAATTGGCTACAAAAAATAACATTTGTACCACACTTTTAGAATTAATTAACCCAATACCCTTTAGTCATCCATGCTAACGTTTTCCAAAAGAATAACTTATTTTATTGTATGTTTAATCTCAATAACTAAAAAATATACTGACAATTAGTTTGACAGAATTGTCATTTATTTAAAATTTTAAAAATAATAGCAGTCGGTTGATCAAAATATGAACGGTGATTGGCGAATTTATTTTTTTTGCAGTGTTCTCACTACCTAGAATGGATATGAAATATATTCGTTCAATTGAAGGCAATAGCATACTTTTTCGTTTTGTAATCTGTGCATGGATATTAGCCAATCTACGCACATACTACAAAACGAAAAATTATGTTATTGCGTTCAACTACGAATATATTTCATATCCATTTTAGGTAGTGAGAACACTTTAACAAAATTAAATCTACAAATCACAGTTCATATTTTGGTCACCCAACTCCTATTATTTAAAAATTTTTAAATAAGTGATAATTCTGTTAAACTAATTGTCAATATATATTTTAGTTATTGATATTAAATATACATTAAAATTTTTGTGTAGACTCGATAAATAATAGCATTTTTGTTTTTATTATGTCCACATTTAAAAAAAAATAAATTTTAATCAAACTACATGATACTAATTTAATTACGAGTATTAAAACTAAAGTCCTGAAAGTTTCGGTGAAGATGAGGACAGAACATCTGCCTTCCATGCGAAAAGCCCGGGATCGAATCTAGGCCGAGGACTAATTAATTTTTCATGTTTATTTTATTTTATAAATTAGTCAACTTCGTAAATTATTTTAAAATTAGTTATTTTGTCTAAATAACCTAAAATATTAAAGTTGAAGGTGGTAGCCATGTGTGAGTTATAAGTTCAAAAAGGTAAATCAAACGAGGGTGGTCCTTAGGATCTCACAAGAGTATTTTATTACATTTTTTAACCTAAAATAATTTTTTAAATTTGTAGATTTTCGTTAGTGGGTCGTAGAAAAAATATACTGACCATATCGAGTGGATTGTTCATATCACAATCAGACGATTGAGTACTCCGCCTACGACGTCGTGCTCAAACTTCGTCTTTGTGTGATATGGCTATCATATCCACCCTTGTTGAACAAACTACAATTTATTTGTTTTCTTGGTTTAAGTTTTACATCAGAAATAAGAACTAAATTAATTTACTTTTCAAGTTTTCTTGTAAAAATCGATATTACTTTCTCCAAGTACAAATTTAGTACCTACCTAAAATAAGTACTAATTATGTAATATCGTGTAATATTGTAATTCAAATTTCACATTACTATAAAGTTTCAAAATTCCCTACTTCGGTATGGTCAGATAAAAATTGAATATATTATATTAATAAAAATTGTTAAAGTATTACTTCTACAAATCTGTATTTCAATTAATAAGAATACATCTAAATATAACCAATATTGTTAAAATGAAAGCACAAATTCTTTATAATTCCAAAATACCATAGAGTTCCCAGGCCTCAGTCGAAGCATTCGTTTATCTAGGTATAAACCCTTTGCGCGAAGAGTAACACTTGCCAGAGACACGGGGTACCACTTGATTTGCATCCACGAGCGTGACACATTTCTTTAACAATTGAAGTCCTTGGTGTAAAAAGGATCCAAGTCACAATTTGTCGTGAAGTGACTGTTTTAGCTCAAAACATTTGTTAACGAGGATTTTACTAGCCACATACAAATTATTTTACCTCTAATCCGAAAGATGTGCTATTTTTCGTAATATTTATATTTAAATAATTTTTTTAATTATATTTGACAGATTTAAAACAAATTAAAAATTTAATTTCCCAAAACTTACTTAACATGGCATGTAACCAACCTTATTACGTCAAGGTTTTCAATTTTTTCAATAATAAAAAAATTGCTTAATCCGGGCCCGACTTTTCCCTTTAATCTAACAGAGATAGCACCATTCCGTCTTGCTTGGTTCTCGACCGCCAGATCAAAGACGCCGACACGGAGTTGGGGAGCTGTATTGTATAAGCTGTGGTAATAGTATATATTATTCTACTCTAAAAGTGATTGGGAACACTTTTATGCTATTGCGCAATTGCAAACTATTCTCGTACAATCCAAAGTGCGATTGGGAACAAACCTATCAATCTGCGTACTATCATACCTTCTTTTTATAGTAGGTATCATGATTTATACTCATAATTATTGTATTCGCGATTTAAACTAAGTGATACGCCCTCTGGAGGAAATTTGTAGAAGGTGCCTTATAAGTAGGATATCGTTCAGTGTTGCCAGAAGTAGCAAAATTTCACTACGTCGTGGGATTTTAGCCCTTGAAGAAGTGGATAAGACCTTTTATTTAAGAATCAAAATTTGTGTCTAAGTAATATGTAATCATGCTCTATATTTATTTAGGGATTTTTTTATAAAACCGATTAATTATATTGATTTTTTTTAAATTTCAGTTCATTTATTAATTTTGTTTGAAAATCAGTTCATCATTTGGCAACATTGGCGTTCGTGTTAATTGTTTATATTTTAATTTGTATCAATTATAATTCGAGTTTTTTCTTACTTTTTAGCTTTAAATTTGTTATTTCTTACAGTATATGTGATAGTGTTTATATTAAAAATGAAATTTGCGAAAAAGCCCCCCGCAAATTGCAATCTATATGGTGTTAAAATCAAAACTGAAGTATTCATTATTTTCCAAGAGTGAATCGTAAAATTATAGTTTCTCACAATAAATGGATATTTACAAATTCACAATATTGAAATTTTACAAAACTTTGTTTAGAATCAAACTGCAAACTGATTTATGACGGTTTTATTACCATTTATATTGTCATGAAAATTCTTAAAGCCTACCCTGTGTACGCACGCGGCCTTCAGAAGGCAACCAACTCGTGCTCGAGGCGACGGAATGTTCTAGGAATGCCGCTGTGGCTCGAGAAACGGGTAGGACGGGCGAAGTGTGCCGTTGAGTCAGTTGTGGAATTTTCGAGACGACCGCCTGGAGACTTCTAGTAGGAGTTGGACTTAATATAAATAGCCGACGTATCAGCGCCGAGTTTAGTTGAATATAGAACGTTGTATTGAAAAGTTAAAGTGTAAGAAATAAATTAGAATTGTTAGTTAGTGTCTGAGTATCATATAAATTAAATAGTACGTCTGAAATAAATTGTAAATAGTGTGTTTTTAAATAAATTAGACTTTCGTCACAATATGTATACAAAATACTACACAATTCACTTCATAATATAAGAATAAGGATAGTAAGATTTTTAAATAAGTTCATCAATAATAAACGTTTGGTACCTGAAATGTCCTTTAAACCACATAATAAAACATGTCCTGGGTTTAGTAAATACATATTTCTAGATGTTCTTGTAGCAACCAATAGGTCAATATTTCCAACAAATTAGTTCATACTACACATGATAAATATTATATTTATAACGAAAGCACAAAAACTAAACTTGAATTAACACTAAATGAAACTCAAAAACACTATTATAATAAGAATATGATCTAAAAACAGTTAAAAACAAACACATGTAAATAAACAAACATCCTACTTATAGGTGACAACTGACAGGCGCGCGAAATTTAATTTGAATCGGGAATACAGCACCTAGGCAGAAGGACATCGATTGATAGCCTATTGGACTGAATTATTATTTAAATTATAGGTTGGTGTTGTTGCTGTTTTAGATGTAAGTTTTGCCGACCTCTTGAACAAATTGAGGAAGCAAAACAATTTTGGGCACAAAATCCTGCCGGAACTTACCACGATAAGGATGGAAATGTTATTAAATATGAACCAACTATGTATGAAAAATATGCCCAAAAAGCACTGGAAGATCAATTAAGAAAATTATAATATTTTATATCACTATATTTAAGTAATTTATAGATTTATTGGAAAATGTTTACAAAATTACTCTAACAATGTCTTTTAACAAGTAATAATAAAAGGTTGGTTCGTGGAGTCGATCTCTGATTTACTCTGACAAATTGGCATGCGCACAAGGTATGTAAGCATTTAAGGTGCGAAAAATCCGGGATTCTGGAAAAAAATCAATGTTGTAAAAATATAAGACACATACACAAATCGGTAAGTATTTTACCCAGAACTTCCTTCGATATAAAAATTGTAAAAAGAGGGAACTCATAAGCACTTAAATTTTAATACTTTAAAATTAACACTTCCAAACCAAAAACCAATTTTTCTCATTTCTTTCTCCATCGATCTTCCTCTTGATCTCACACAAACTCTCACTTCGCGTCCGCTCGGTATTCTTCGTCACGTTCCCCGTTATTGGACAATAATGATTGCCTGCTTTTAAAACGGTCCAGTTATACAAACCAAAAGGTCACTTTTTATTATTTCCATTTAAGGGGGGACCTTTTTTGATTAAATACGATTCCTTTCAACGCCATTTTGAATTCTTAAAAACTTATTTAGGATATGTTATCTTTGCCTTCTAAACTACTCAGATACCAATTTTAGTCGACCAACTTTTAAAAATAAATGCCTAATTAAATACAATAATTGTTACTGCATAATTAAGATGAAAAATTCTGATGTGTTGTTATAGCCCATTGTCAGATATTCTTTAGTGTATGATGGGTGATAATTTTACCGTAAATTTTGGTATGTACAGTGAGATCAAAATGATACAGGTCTAGGTAATAGAAATTTACCCTGGAATTTAATTTAACAGGAAATTGAAAATATTGCTATGTTAATATTTTAAAACTTTTTAAACAAAAATTATTGTCACTGGGCATCCAAGGATGTACTACTTCAAAAAATAAACTTTGTATAATTAGCTCAACTCATTACCTTTATAACTTGAAATGCTCTTTCAAAGTCACTTCTCTTCAAGCACATCTGAATTAAGGATTCTGGTGAAGACAACATATATTTTAATAAAAGTTTTTCACATTTTGAATTTTTTTTTACATTCCTTATTAGTTCCATTCTCCACATAGCATCGGCTACTACTTTATTTAAATGGGACAACCTATAATATTCTTCAGATTCCTTTGACTGAACATATTTTAACTTTATTTCTTCAAGTACTTCTTTGACTAAATACAAAATAAGTCTGACTTCTTTTTCTTCACATATATGTGTACTTTCTTCAGTTTTTGAATGTAAATAACTTGTTTCTGTGAAAACTGATGCAAATATATTCTCCAATAGTTCAAGTAGTAATGGTAAGCTTTGAATATGCAATAATTTTGACTTAATATGGTCAACTGTAAGGCTTATATTTAAATTTGGTGTTTTAGTTATACAACGAAACACATTTCCTATAATCATAAAAGCTTCAAACTGGAAAGATTGTGAGCTGCTAATTTCAAAAATATTTTCTTCTTCTTTAATAAACTGCAGAATATCCTCTAAATTTGATGTTTTTAATTTGAAATAATGAGAAAATGTTTGTAGTATACAATTCTCTTGAAAATACAAAAACATTTCATTCACATTAATATTCGATACTTGTGATTCACAATACTCTATAATTTTTATAAAATATCTAATCAACCTGAAATAGTTGTTCCAAAAGGGATGAACATCTTCATTAATTTCTGCTAATAATATTTTAATATGGTCCAACTGTAGTCTACAAAAATTAGTTAAATAGATTAATTGTAAACTCAGGATCTTGTTAAGAATTATTTTATTGGATATTAATACTTTGTCAGAACCAATAATGTGTTTGAACCAGTGATTATTTTTGCACAAACAATAATCATATAACTTTGTAGCATTTTCCAAATTAACTTCAATTGCATTTTCATTGTATTTTAAAAATCTTTGTAATAAATCCAAATTTTGACAACCAATTAATGATAAATACAGTACATCCTTTTGGATTATTTCTTTGTTACAAAGGTCATTTATTTTAGGCAGAATATACTCAGAGATATATCCACTCTCATTTTTATCAATCTGCTTAAATTCACTTATTTTTTTATAAAATAAATTGACCAATTTATTATGGTCGTTTTCACGCCTTGACAGCTTTTCTACAAGTTTCAATAGGTCCTCCATGCTGAAAAACAGAAAAACAAATATTAGTTCAGTTTAAAAAAAACAATTTATGTAGTACATACTCTATTAATAAAACTTTAATAATATTAATACTACATCTCTTTATTAATATGTAGTCCCTGTTATTTATAGTAGATAGCACAAATAATGAACCAACATTTCTAACACAATTACAAATTACAATACAATAATATTAAAAACAAAAAGTGGGTCATACACCAATGTCAAAAGTAATAAAAGTAAACAGTGATGACAGATGACACTAATGCACTAATGACCAATGACATATATCATATATAGACTACTTATACAAATATGTAATGACGAAAAGCGTAGGAATTAAATTTAAGACAGATTAACTAATTTTTATCTTGCGTTAGGTATTTTGAAAAAGAATATATATTTGTTTGAGCCGTAAAGTCTAGTTTCCATATATGCAAACAATTTTACACTCTTGTATAAACATTTTTAGTAAGTAAGAGATGCCATTGGTTGTGACAAATTTTATGTTTTATTATTAAACATCAATGGGAATTGGGTTAACGAATGGGAGTCACGTGGGAGTAAACAATAAAAAATAGTGTGTAAATTCCCTTTTTATTTTTCTATGTAAATTCCTAATTCGTTAATTCAGACTATTCAGCCTGGTTAATTAATAGATTATTTAATAAAGACCTCTGACCTTGGGGATTGTTATGTTTTTATGATAAAATTGTTTTGTTTTTAATATTTTAATGAACAAAAAAATAAATGCTGACCTCTTGCCATATTTTTTAATGTAAAACATGTCTTCGATAGTCACATTTATAACTATCATTTCTGCTGTGATAATAGGAAATATTCTCTGTAAGTACTATATTAAGTATTAGGTGCATAGGTACTTTATAAGTGAGCTTCACGTTAAATAACGAAGCAATATCAATATCCTGTTCCCTATTTAAAATACTTGTAATCTAAACCATTATTGAATATTTATATTTTATGTTATGCTTACCTACCTAAATAGTGTTATTTTTTTAGAAATTTCTTAATTCTCTTGTTTTGATATTGACATTTAACTATCTGTAACAAAGCTAATTTGTAAATGTACATATAAAAGTACCTAGGTAACTTTCATTTTTACACCATTTTTATGAATCATTCTCAACATTCCATACTTACATTTAAAATCATTTCAACCCACTATATATATATATATATATATGTCAAATAATAATATATATAATTTGTTTGGAAACACTATCAAATAGGTACTGAAGTTAATAATAACAGAAATACTCACCAAAATGCATGGCAACATAATTGGTCAAATGCTACGAATACTCAATATGTCAATACTCAGCAATTTGGAAAAAAATCTCCAACCACACCATGGCCAGCTTTAGGTAGACAAAGATATCAAAATAATGTTCCATCATCTACAAGAGCTCCCCTATGGGTAAGACCCAACAATGGTCCTAGTTGGGTCAGAAATACTCCATCCCCTCAACAAAATTCTAATTTTCAAAACACAAGAACCCAAACTCATACCAATAATTTTTTAAACAATGAAAGAGAAATAGTAAATGAAGGAAAATCTGCAAACCTACCAAATAGAAATACTGACAGATTTAACAATAATAATGGAATAAATAGTGTATTTTCTTCAGGGTCTATGATGAGCGAGACCAGAGACTCTCATAGACAAAATCAAGGATCTAATGGTAATCAAAATAGTGATGTAAGTGATGATGAGTTAAGACAGTTTTCAGAAGAATTGTTAAATAGAGATAATAGTCCTGCTCAATATGTTTCTGTGAACTTTCAAGGCATGACATCATCACGGTCTACTAATGATGAAGCTCCTTTGCCGTAAGTTTTTACTTTAGTATATGTGAAGAAAAGAGATTTTTTGTAGACAAAAAAATCCAGTCAAAAAATAAATCAACTTGAACTAATTGTATGTAAGTAGGTATTTTTTGCAGGATATGAAGAGTTAATTTTTAACTTTTATAATATTGCACTACATCCTGTAAAGTATCCATACAAGTAACTTTTTTTATATAGATCCTACCCAACGAAGAAAAACTATTAGACTAATTCAGTCATTCATAATTAAGCCCTTATTTATTGTAATCATTCAGGTTTTGTTTTGTATTATGCAGACCGAGCTGTTGCATCTGCTGCCATATTAGAAATAAGCTGCCAATTTGATTGGGGAAGGTTGTGAAAGTTGTTTTTCTGAGGAGCGAGCATGCATTTTATCAATGAATCAGTACTTACGTCTGCTGTCACACTTCAAAATTAATTGTGTACTTTCCTAGAAGTCACCTCCAACTATGATGTTATTTTGGGAATGGGGTGTTAATACACTGCGACTTAAAAGATCTATGTACACCCCTTATGTCGCTAATGCAGCAAGGATACGTCTTAATGCTATCTTCTAATCCTATCTTCTCAAGGAAGTGTAGGATTTGGAGTGGCTTCAAGTTAGGTAAATCTCCAGTCAGAATGTGAATAGAGGTTTCATCCTCCTCCTCACAGAATCTGCACTCACTAGCTTCTACTCTCAATTTACTAAGGTGTTACAATGCATAGCCTGTTCTTGCTTGGGCAGATACAGGCTTCCGATCTTTATTGGTTATATTCACCCAGAAGATCTGAGCCTGTCCTAGCCCTAAGAGATTGTTCCAATTGTTGTTTCTTCTGCTGCCCAATTCTTTTTTAATCTCTCCTATTATTGTGTTACTGCTGATACCACAGGCAGTAAGCTCAGGTACCACAAATGGTGTTTGAGCCCCTTTCCTTGTGAGACTATCTGCAATCTTGTTACCCTGTACCCCATTATGTCCCGGGACCCAAGGGAGAGTAACTCTATTTTCCTCGCCTACCTCAGTCAATTTTTCTAGGCATCTCCAAACCATTTTTGAGCTGATAATGTAAGAGCTCAGTTCTTTGATGGATACACTTCTCAATGGCATGAATTTTCGCCTGGAAGATGATTGGGTATTTTCCCAAACTTTCAGAGTGCCTGGTTCTAGGCAAATACACTACTATTCCAGTTCCTTCTATGGTTTTGGAACCATCCATATACCACTAAATAGCATGTCTTTTGGTTGCAATAATGATGGATTCTTGACTCCATTCTTTCTTGCACCCCGCTCTGTGGTTTTGAAGCTTTTCACAAAACTGTACTTTTTTCTCATTTCATCTTGGGGGCATATCCCAAGTATCTTCGGTCCTGAAGGTAATAGACTTTCGTCTGATTACTTTGTCCTTTTTGCCACATTCTCCATCATTAAATGTAGAGGGGTGAGGTTTAAGATCACCTCCATTGTGGCCGTAGGACAGATTCGCATTGCACCGGTGATGCAAACACAGGCTAGTCTTTGTAGTTTTGAGATATTAGCTCTCATAGTAGCTAAACTAGTTCTGTTACTCCAGGCTATACTGTAAGTAATGATTGGTCTCACTATTGCAGTATACATCCATTGCAGTGTGTTCAGGTTACGTTCCCATCATTTAAACGCAATATTTCTGCATACCTTTAGGGCTTATGTGGCCTGGTTTACTATTTCCTTCTCGTGTAAGTTCCAGAGAAGTTTGTTGTCCAGGGTTAGGCCTAGATATTTGACTTCATTTTTCCATTCTATATCCATCCTATCTAATTTGACGGGTTTGAGATTGAGTTTTCTTTTCCTTGAAAAGACTACTAGTGTTGTTTTCGTGGAGTTTATACTAAGTCCCACCTCACGGCACCATCTTTTGGACTATATCACAAAGGATATTTCCATATTTCCAAACTTACCTCTAGCAAATATGACTATGCTGTCGGTGTAGCCTTGACAGGGTATGCCGAGGTCAGTCAATCTACATAGAAGTTCGTCTACCATTAGGCTCTACATTAATGGGGCTAGAACTCTTTTCTGTGCACATCCTCTGGTTGTGCAGATGGTGATAGTGTCCTGCTCTATCTGTGTCTCTGCAGTTCTCGTAGATAGCAGCTGAGCCATCCATCTGGATGTGGTGCTCTCTACTCCTATGTATGTAAATGCTCTTTTGACAGATTTAGCGTGTTGTCAAATGCTCCTTCTATGTCTAGGAAGGCACACACGAACATTTCTTTGTTTGTCAGTGCATCCTGGATTACGTCAGTTAGCTGCACCAGGGCAGTTTCTGTAGATCTTTCTGCTCGTGACGCATGCTGGCTGTAGTGGAGTGGCACCCTCTCCAGGACTTCTATTCTGATATAATTATCAACAGCCTTTTCCATTGTTTTTAATACAAAGGATGTGAGGCTGATTGGTCAGAAGGATTTGGGATGTGTGATATCCTTTTTCCCACTTGACCCCTGTCCCACTGAGTCCTTGCTTCAGGGAAGGTAATTTTCTTCTATAATTTTTGGTAGGTTGCTGGTAGGTTGTGAGAAGAGGATGAAGAATATGGAGCGGTAGTGCTCCTCTTCTCTGCTCCTTTCACACCTTTCTTTTGTTCGCCCGTTTCTCTCTTGTGTAGTTATATCACTTGAGAGGTTGAGGAAGGTTGATCGCTTCGGGTGGCAGGCTCCGTTCGATCAGATTTGGAGGCAGTGTGTTCCTGCTGTTTGTTTTTTACTTTGATTTACCATGTAAATCCCACGAGCAGCTAGGGAAGGAAAAGTCGACTGGCGCAGAGCCCCGCATGCGCAGGCAAGGCTGGATACAAGGGGGTTTCACCAAGTACCAACAGTGGAACGTTCGCAACCACTTTCCCAGCGACCATTCAGTCTTTAGCACGTTGCCTTACACCTTAGCTAGGGTTTTGATGGAGTGTCATTCAGTTAGTTAATAGTGTTGTTCCTAGAGCAGCAATATTAACATATCCAGCGGTGCCACGAGGAGGTAGACACTATGATTGCATTTCTCCATTGGCATGCAGAAAGAGTTACCTACAAGCAGACAAGCAAGCAATCTAAGCTACAAAGCAATGTCTAAACTACAACCAACCCCGCCTTCAACTATGATTCAACGAGAAAAATACATTGAACTGATATTAACTAGCATTAAAAATGCAAATACTTCCTTAATGTAATTTTGAAAGCCTTTTGTGCATTTTAGAGTTTTATGTTAAGTCAGTATTGAAATACCTAACCATAATCATTCTTTGTAACAAGACTCTCATAATAAATTGAGAACTACGTGGGTAATAGTATGATTGTTTGCAATCCGATTTTTGTAAATAAAATTAGTCTAGTAATTATTCGTCATTGATCCACCCTACTTATATTGCCTATAATTTTAACCAATTTTATGTTCAAAAGTTAATTGCTTATGAAAAAGTATATTGTATACTTACATACTTTTATACCTTTTTATAACTTTTTCACTTTATCTTATTCTTATTTATTTAATCAATTTTATTTCTAGTATTATTCATTGTCTATTGAAAAATGTTGATTTTAAAGTTTTTCACACAATACTAACACACAAACATTTATATTTATTGTATGCAATTAGCTGAGCTATTGGTTTTAAATGTTTAAATATACTTATTTTTATATTATTTTTGTTTCTGTAATTTGTTTTAACATTTAGTTTTATCTAAAACATATTTTAGACTACTTTCTATTGACCAAGCAGCATATTCGATGCCCTCAATTTCAAAACTTACTCCTTTGTATAACAACTACATTGTGGAGACAAATCAGAATGAAGTTTATACAGCTCAAGAAAAAAATGAAGAAAATGATCTTCTTGGTGTAGTATTGTCAACACCTGTAATGCAACATACAAGAAATTTTTTGATTAGTAAAGGTTGGTTATTATCACTTGTTTAAGATATAGATTTATGAAATTAGCATTTGATAATTAACTTATGCAGATCACCAAAAGCACGGCATAATAAACAATCCAAAAGTATACACGATTACATTGACAATTTTGCATAATTACATTGACATTAATTTTTAAGGAATGTCTACTATAATTTTTTAGAAGTAAAAACCAACCAATAAGGTATTAGTGATTTTTTTTGAAATGAAATGAAAGCAAATTTGGGTCAGGGTATACTTTTTGTGCTTGGCCTGTGCCAGTATTTTGTAAGATTAAAGTTAAGCTTATTAAATAAAATCAAACGTTTAGGTATATATAGGTATCTACACACTTTTTTAAATCGGACTGTGACAAATTTTAAGATGTATTATTATTTATACGATATGTGAATGTTGCATTTAATTTTTAACACACTGATGCCAAATACAGTAGGTATAAACAATCTTAGAACTAGGAAAATTATTCTTCGCGTGATTGTGGGTAAAAACAAATTCCTATTAATTAATTTTTCCCTGAATCTATGTTAAATATAGGTACATGAAATATTATTCATAACAATGAATTTAAAAAAAAAATACAATCAGTATCTATTAATTACAATAGTATCCTCAGTATATCAATATCGTTGATTGAAAATGTAATAAGTACCTACCTTGCAATAACAAGAATAAATTATTTATTAAATAAATATCAGCAAACATAATATTCATAATAGCCCACCTGCTTATAACAGACATATTTAATAATGATTTCTAATTTTGATTGGAAATAAATAATTATACGAAAATTGTGAATTTTTTTTATCGTAAATCGCAAATCAAAGTCCGAAAAGTCAGAGAAATTTAACTTAGGTTTAGTATGAATACATGGATTTCTTATATAAACCGTTGCTGTATAAAGGTATTTGAAGATTTGAGAACGAGCTTGAATGCCGTCTGGCCCGAACTAGCACATCAAATTTCTGTCTAGGAATCTCGACAGTTAATGTCGTTATGGTCTAGAAGGAAGGGCACTTGTCTAGCATGCAAGGAGGCCCGGGTTCGATTCATGGCTGCGACAGGCTTTTTTTTTCAAATATCCAAGTATTTGTTTTCACCTTAGGGGTCAGGGATGGTCTTAATAATTCGTAGGGGGATTTTTGAGATTTGTTTCCGAATTTTCAAATTCAATTTTTTTTTTTTTTAAAGGTTAGTATATACCAAGAGAGTAAGAGGCTGTGCTTTCTCCAGGGCCACATATACACTAGGAAAATATAGTAAAATGAAACATTGAACAAAATAAAATATTTAATCTAACTTATGTTAGACAAGTTTGTATTTAAATTATTTGCATAATTTTGTCACTTCAGGAGGAATATTATTAAATTCCATATAAGAATCATTATATTCCATCAATTTTTGAATAGAGTAGAACTGTCAGTCATGAGATTCATGACTATCTTCGATGAGATCGTGGTATTCACAGCCATTGGCCAGTAGCTAATACATAATGAACATTCTGTCTCTAGAGTTAAAATGAAATACGTGTAAAATATATAAGAGCCAAGTTTTTCAGAATTGTCTTTCAATCCCAAGAGCGAGAATATTTTCTTTTTGTTATTATAAGTGGTTTCGGAATAACTACATTTAGTAGTGGCCGTGCAGAAACGAATTTTTTAATATTCCACGCCAATAAAGAATGTTGTGGTTTGAATTGATGCAATCCATTTTTGATTCACAATTCTACATCTTAACCAATTTTGAGACAACATATTTTATAAATGACATGTTTAATGTTTATTAACTTCTGTATTTATATTTTATTATGTCATGGTCAGAGATTTATCTCTGGTCATGGTAATAAAAAAATATAATATTATAGGTACCTATCACCTCTGGACTGTTTGCAAGTTGACAACGTCAATCTTATGCAATGGGAACGATATTTGACTATCACCACCAATCCGATTTAAAAAAAAAAGTGTGAATAGCATTTATAATTACAGCATTTTTTGTTTAATTATTGATTTGAAGGTAAAATTGGAAGAGACCCACAAGAATTCAAGGAATTGCTTCGATTGATTTGGTTTAATATGTACTCAAGGGGTCAAGGAAAAATTGGTTCTAGTGGATTTGAACATGTGTTTCTAGGAGAATTAAAAAATAACCAAGTGTCTGGACTGCATAATTGGGTTTATTTTGGCGAAGAAGAAAAAAAACATGAAATTAACTATTTAGGTTATATGAAGAAGATTGACTTGGGAGGTGTAAGTATTGACTGAATATTTTCGAATTCTTTCTACAAAATACATTATCTTTGATTCCAAAAATTTAGCAAAGAAAAGCATAGTTTTGAATTTGATTTTAATTTTACATTTATAGTAAAATAGAGTTCTACCTTCTTCCGCCGAGACAACGGTTTCAGATTCAGAAAGCAATATATTTTACTTAATAGAATAGAACATTCTTTACAGTAAATCTATTCGCTCCGTGCGCGACGGCAGCGCCAGTTCGTTTTGGTACTAATGGACTATTTCTGCGTGTAATGACAAATACAATGTTTAATAGAATTCGTAATAAAAAAGTATATATGTTAGTTTTAATAAAAGTATATGGATTTGTAAAACAAGTAAAACATTAATTTATTATTATATATTTTTATCGCTTAAATTAAAGAAAATTATGTATAATCAATAAAAATCAATAATAAAATATAGGCAGGCAACAGTATTTACTGAAAAATGTATGAGAAGTTGCCTAAGTCTAGTAAGTTGTCATTGAAGAATTAGCCTATTCTGTCAAAATAAAAAAATACCAGTTAATAATAGCGTGAAGTTAAAATGTATAAAAAAATTTTGTTCGAAAGAAAACTTAGATTGAATGATTAAAACTGGTTTCCCATCAGTAAGTCACAAAGTTGCATTTCAGCCACATATAATAAAGGCAGAAATCTTGAAATCTAGTCCTTGCTGAATGAACATTTAAGAATAAAGGGATATTAAAGAACATCGTAAAATGATAATTTATTGTTTATTTAAAACCTTTCAAGTTTCTGATGTCTACTATTTCCAGCATTACTGTTATTATTACAAAAATAAAGGTAATTTTTCTTTTTATTGTACATCTATCCATTTATTTCTTTGATTTAATTTCCACTTTGCTACTGACATTTTTTATATAAGTTTCACTGTTTTTTTTTTGTTAATATTTGTACAATTTTCAACACAGCAACTCCGGTTGCTTATTGTATTGTTTTTACCTACTTTTTTGAAAAAAAGTAAAATGTATACGTGTATTTGATATGCCAAAATTACAAAATATCGCCCTAAAATGCACGAATTATTCGCAGTTAGTGCTTATCGCTTTTGCTTCCCTTTCCATAACTTCGCTCGGAGCGAATAAAGCAAAATTGTTTAAAATTATAATAATTTATAAAAAGGATAAGTTTCATAATTATTTTTAGAGCGGCAATTAAAGAAGTAATGATAGGTACATAATAATTACTTTTGTTTTACAGAAAGGATTTATCCTCAAATTTCACTTTACATTCCATGGTGTGGATAAACCTGTTGATTCTATGTTCGTCGGCACTAGTCCTGAACTGGAAATGGCTTTATACTCAACTTGTTTTATACTAAGAGCCGATAGAGTGTGTCCGCTTAAAATGAATGGAAACCGTTTTATTATCAGGACATATACCTTTAGATATCGAGGAAAAAATATGATTGGAAGTGCTTTTGCTGAGATTTAATTATTTTTGTTATGTGCCATTTATGTCTTGTTTAATACAAGTTTTTTTTTAATAAATGTGTTAACGAAAGTGAAATTGGTATATATTATTCAACCTTTAATTCCTGTTTTCCAACACATCTTTGAATTTTGCCTATTTGCAAATGACTTTTAACAGTTTGAAAGTAATAAAAAAGACAATAAATAAAATCTTACGAGCGCCCCCGAGCACATACAACAACTAAAATAATATTTGAATGCCCATTGAAGACCACACACCTGTTTTCAAGGCCTTATGCCGAAATGTTCTAGGAAGCATCCAAAATCCAACCTACACATCGGTATTACACCTAGCAATAAAGCTATGTATATCGTTTTCAACCAATCAGCCGTATTAGTTTATTTCAATTTAGTGCTTGCATGGCACATGATATTAATTCATCGTTTATTCTTTGCCTCTTTCATAAAGTGTATACCTTTTTCGCCAATTAAATATGTCTTAACTCATTGTATATACATGCATATGTTGTGTAGGCTCCTATACTATACATGACCGGCCATGGTGGGCCTTTTGCATAAGGGACCAGTATCGATCTCATTATTGCGCTGTCATCTACACAATCGCCAGTGTTCATTTACTGTCTGTTCATTGTTCAAGATGGAACTCGATGACGAGTTGTTTGCAGCTACTAGTGAAATCCGACAACCGGGGGTTGATAATTAATTTAAATAATTCCTATATATTACATAATAATATTATATTCAAATTTTTATTTCGAATTCAAACAACATCCCAGCGTATCCCGCCTCGTAGGCGCCGTTTAATTACTTCTGGGAAAAGAAATCTACGCGTAAACTGTAGCGGCCGCTAGCTGGAACACCAGATGTTAAGCGATAGGGTTATATTCAGGAATTAATACAGAGCTTTATAGTCTTTATGCACCAAAGTCACAGTCGTTCTCTTTCCGATACATTTGCATGTATGTGAAATTTAAGTATAAATACCCGGGTTTTTGTGGGCTGGGGGACATTAGCTTTTTGATCTCCACCGAGTCAAGTTAACAAAAAACGCAAATATCCACGTTACCTCTACGGTGACTCCTTTTTCTTTATATTCTTCAAATATAATTAAAAAGAGATATCGCTACCCTTACGGTGGCCGCGTTTTTGTTATATTTTGAGAACGGAAATAAAAGATATCGACGGAGTAGATAAATTAATTTCTATAAACGACGGCTTCTGCATAGATATCCAGTTGTCCTTAGGATGACCACCCTTTTCTTATATTTTATATATAAGTAAAAGGAGATATATAGTCAGGTTGACCAAGCAGATACACGTTGAATAGAACCAGATTTCGCTCCTAGAACTGTTTTGTAAGGTTGTATCTACCGAGCGACTAAACTATTGGCGTAACTAATACTGGTAATACCACGCTAGTCTAGTTAAACGCCAGATATTTTATATCTCCGATTCAACATTATAAAATGTTACTAAGAGCCGATTCCACCGTTGTGTTAAACAAAGATTAAAATGATATTTTTACGTTGCCAAGGTCATTTTATTATTCGTTTAGTAATTTAAACTTCGTTTAACACAACGGTGGAATCGACCCTAAATGATTAAAAGTACTACTATAGGCGACGTTCGTAGTGGATTTCGTCACCCTTCAGGCTGACCCGACGAACTTGCGCCAGGTAGACGCTTTTATCAGCGGTATACTTTTTTCTGTAAGATTTCTTTTACGTAGAATTAAAACGATATTCGCACTATTAAAGTAATTAAACTAGTATTTAATATTCAGATATGCCGGGGGAGAGTTTAGACTAACATTAATGGGTTTACAGGTATCACTTTATTACTTTTATATTCATTAGCGGGAAAATTCGCGTCTGTGTTATTGTCATATTTTTGGTATTCATTGATAAACGTTTATTGTGGGAAAAATTATAAGGGTTTTTATATTGTGCTAAATTTTATTATTTAGAGAATCGATAGTAATGTTGTTGTCATAAATATTAATTGTTGTAAAGTCGGTCAACACTCAAGTAATAAATTAAGTCATTTAGATTTATGGCCAAAGGGCCGAATTGTAAAGGTTTGGGTTGTCTGTAAACAGTACCTGCCTCTTTCAGTAAAGAGAAAACGCACTTTCGGTTTTATTTTTAAATGGCAAACAGATGTAGATTAGTAGAGTAATAGCCTTGATTTGTATATATTTTTAAGTTAGATTGCGGTTAAAAAAATATGTTTTCTGTCGTTCTTTGTAAAACAAAATTGGGTAGACAAATGTGTAATTTTAGCCGTAAGGAGTGTTAGTTTTGTGTATCGATTTTTCGGGAAAAAGGAGATATGTACAGCGGCGGGTAGCATAATGAATATTGAGGGGGGGTCGTATTTATTTGTACATATCCACATATCTTTAGCGGGACATTACGTGGAAGTAGTCGGTATGTTTGTTATTTATTTAGAATAAATATGTGAAATTGTGTTTGTTGACTAGCTAACGTATCCTCAGAACTGTGATTAATAACACTGATTTGTCAATCGACAGAGCAAAAGAGCATCGCGCCGAAAAAGAAGCCTTAGGCCACCATAGACCGCCAGGGACCTCAATAGTAAGGGCCTAAAAATGGTATTTCCCTTGCGGCTATGTAAATTAAAGCCTGATAGAGGCTTGGATGGATCTCTACTGAGATACCCCAAAAGTGGGCCTGACGGACATCCCCCTTTATATCAGGTGTTCTCCGATCGACCGTTCAGTGTTTTCCATACAGGACTGAGTATATCAGTACATTACGGCATTGGAATATTAGAGAAAGGCGTGACGCACGGTGAGGTAAATCTACACTCCGGTTTTTACACATATTAGAAATATTATTTTTAACCGACTTCAAAAAAGGAGGAGGTTCTCAATTCGACGCAATATTTTATATCTCACAACATTCCTCGTGCTACCGCTATACTCTCTTTTATTAGACAATGCGTAATTTAGTATTTACGAGGAAACGTGTGATTGTATATTTGGAGACAAACAAATATACCAAAGTACTTCCGACTTTTATTTTACCCTTTTATGGGAACTAAAAGCTCTGAGGTTAGAAATGACACATTGGGAAGCCTACATAAACATAATGTTAAGCCTAAAAACGGCACATAATCTAAATGTCCGGCTGTATAAAAGAATAGATGTTAAATAAACAGTATTCCAAATTAATCTATGCGTTTAATTTATTCTTCCCCATTACAGCTACATTGAACTCTAAACGTAATTCTGGGGGTTTTAACATCACTTCGTGGGGATCCACTAGACGTAATTTAGGCCAAGGTTGAGGGTATTTGGAAAACTAGGTTAGGGCCCGGTTTGTCAAGTTACACTACCATTTATGTGATTTGGGCATACAATCATCACGTAAATAATAACATATTGAAAAAAAAAGGAGAAAAAGAAGATGGTGGATCTGCCTGTTCATTATTGTAATTTTTGAGATTTTTAAATTTAGCGTTCCAAATCGTTTTCTCGCCCTGATGTAGTTCTAAAATTTAAACGTTTGATTTTTAGTATACGCCCCCATTATAAATTCTTTAGGAATTGCTTCTTAGTAGCTACGACAGTCAAATAGAAACTGAGAGTTTGGTGATCGTGTGGACACACAAAAACATCTACAGACGATTACCTTTGATCCGCGTGTGAAAAACCGACAGCTCATCGGTTACCGACGATCACTGGCAGTTATGGCCGAACGTTGACAAATCAAATAGGCCCTCCACACGAAGGTACACGCATGTAATCGCCCATGATGACCGATCGTGTATAGAAGCTATGCAAGTTTGGTGGCATTTTTTGTACTCTCGTCGCTTCATTTTGTTGACAAGACGCTGACATCTTGTAAGAGAATGTAACACCGCCATTACAGCAAATAAAGGATTAGTAGACTGTAGTCTTAAGCTCCCTTCCACTCCAACGTCCTAAAATCAAGTCAGTAACAGGGTCACGTGACCCAATGGAAGCCAATATTGGACATTCTTAAAAGGTAATGAACTTGTTCTTCAAGTTTTTTAAAATTCATCAGCCACTGCAACCTTCTCGAACCGTCCAGACACGGAATGACATTTCTGGACTATTCTCTCCAATTTTTTTATTCGTACGTTTTCTATAACGGCTGCAGGGTACAGGTTAAGGGTGGCACAAAATTGATCAAAAAACATTGATCGAAATGGAAATTTTACATTTTATCGAATGGCATTTGATCGAAAATACATTTGGTTGAATAACATTTGATCGAAGATATATTTTATAGAATAACATTTTATCGAAAAGACAATAGATCGAAAATTCATTAGATCGAAAGGACAATATATTGAAAATCAACATTAAAAATAGTAAAATATCAAAAAATCAAACGATACCATTCAACCGTCCGTCTAATCCCTATAACCAGGGAAACTAAACTAAGCGGCTATCAAAATTAGGTACTAACAGCAAATTTCAAATTTTATCCTTACAATACTGTTAATTTAAAATTAATTATTTTAGAGATAAACGGTTATTTGGATTAAATGGTCATTTGGATTAAAAAAATGGGATTAATTCGCACAAAATATGTATTTCAATAAGATCGAGTTGTCTCCCGATGGGACATTTTAGGTAAATTATTTTAAGTTTTTTTCTATATAACAAATTTAATTAATTTACCTAACCTGTGCGACCTAGAGCCGTCGCGGTTTGCCACGCAAAAAATATAGAAAAATAAGAAAAATTCAAACAAAAATTTTAACTAATTTACCTAACCTGTGCGGCCTGGAGCCCTGGAGGGTGGCTTCGCAAAAAAATATACAAAAAAGGGAAAAATAAAGAAATCCTAACCTATTTACCTAACCTATACGGCCTGGAGCAATTTAACTAATTGCTCTGACACAGGTTAGGTAAGTTAGTTAAGTTTTAGGTAAGTTAGTTAAGTTTTTAAAAAACCTAACTAATTTACCTAAGCTGTGTCAGAGCAATTAGTTAAATTGCCCCAG